CTTTCATGGAAGTCAAAGACAACCAGAGGTGTCGCGCGCAGACTGCGGACGCCTGTGTAAGGTGGAGTATGGCGCCAGAAATCCTGGACGCCTCCTCCACCTCCTCTGGTGCCATCTCTGTCTTACCCGTGGTTAAACGGGACAGAGAGGCCGCCAAGAGGGCAATGTTGTTAGCTGCTGCTACAGCTTGGGCTCCCAACCCAAAAGACTTCTCCAACAGCGACGCTGTGAGTCGGTCCTTCTGGGATGGCAACGTGGCCTTCTTGAAAGAGGGCCAAGGGCTCGAACCCGGTACGAGATACGCCGCCATGGCGCTCTCTAACCTGGGGATCCCCTGACCCTGGAACCTTCCTTCCACTCTCGTGAATGGGAGATACGCTTTTACAGGCGAACGCGCCGCTAAAGGTGCCTCCCACGAGCCTCCAACGTACCTAGCCAAAGAAGGCATGGCAGGAGCCACTGGCTCTGCCGCCTTCCTCGGCCTGGAATAAGGACCGCCCTCCATCATATCAACCTCCGGTGCGGAGGGAAGAGGGGGCAGGCTTATTGCCAGCCGTTGAGCAGCTCTCTCAATGAGACCCGGAAAATCCGCTCTCAGAGAGGCTGCAGCGAAAGAGAGAGCTTCTGATCTCTCAGAGCTCGTATCCCCTTCGCTATAGGGACTACAAGCCCTCTCGCTCTCCAGAGGAAAGGGGGGCTTGAAAGTATGAGGGACGGGGTCCGACTGTTCCATTGGAATGCCAGACCCTTCCTCAAAATCCCCATCTTCCCCCGAGTCTGCGCCGTCGGACGACGCCTCTGAAGCAGAGGCTAGTATCGACAACACATCCTCAAGGGGGATGTCCTCCCTGAAAAACGCCCAACGCTGCTTCCTCTCCTTTAAAGAAAGGAGGGCGCAGGAGGCGCAATTCGGGGGACTGCAGACGCCCTCCTTGGCATGCTGGGATCCCAAACACACGAAACATAAGTCGTGGTGGTCACCGGCCGCCATGGAGGTGCATCTGCACTGAGCTCTGAAAAGAGCTTTTGGGGGGGGGGGAAATCACCCGGTGTGCTCATTTAGACGACGTTGATGACTGGAATATCAACGGCGTTTTCGTCCTGAGTCTTCGTGCTTCGTCTCTTCTTGGCTCTTCAGTCTAGTCATCCAGTCGCTGAAGAAAAAGGGAGGCTGATTGAGGGGAAGCGTCCCCTCTTATAGGGACACCTGTACTCCTATTGGCTGTAGGTGTGTGCATAATTTTGTCTCAGGCTGCTGCTGCCTTAGGGCAGAGGGTAAACCATTAGGAGCAGAGCTCCCCTATGGGGCGGAGCTCCACGATATAGAACATTGAGTTCTGGTTGTTGTCTGGTTATTTTAGTTCATTACACCCCACATTTCTTTCCCATCCATCTAGTTTACCTTGTGTGCGTAGTCACAGGCATTTACGTCTCCTCAGACTACACCCAAGGGAAGAACGTAACACAGCCTATATTACAGAGCATGTAATATCCATGTCAGTAAGTTAGTTACAGTTGAAGTCGGAAGTTCACATACACCTTAGCCAAATACATTTAAACTCAGTTTTTCACAATTCCTGACATTTAATCCTAGTTAAAATTCCTTGTCTTAGGTCAGTTAGGATCACCACTTTATTTTAAGAATGTGAAATGTCAGAATAATAGTAGAGAGAATGATTTATTTCAGCTTTTATTTCTTTCTACACATTCCCAGTGGGTCAGAAATTTACATACACTCAATTTGTATTTGGTAGCATTGCCTTTAAATTGTTTAACTTGGGTCAACCATTTCGGGTAGCCTTCCACAAGCTTCCCACAATAAGTTGGGAGAATTTTGGCCTATTCCTCCTGACAGAGCTGGTGTAACTGAGTCAGGTTTGTAGGCCTCCTTGCTCGCACACGCTTTTTAAGTTCTGCCCACAAATGTTCTATAGGATTGTGGTCAGGGCTTTGGGATGGCCACTCCAATACCTTGACTTTATTGTCCTTAAGCCATTTTACCACAACTTTGGAAGTATGCTTGGGGTCATTGTCCATTTGGAAGACCCATTTGCGACCAAGCTTTAACTTCCTGACTGATGTCTTGAGATGTTGCTTCAATATATCCACATAATTTTCCTTCCTCATGATGCCATCTATTTTGTGAAGTGCACCAGTCCCTCCTGCAGCAAAGCACCCCCACATCATGATGCTGCCACCCCCATGCTTCACGGTTGGGATGGTGTTCTTCGGCTTGCAAGCAACCCCCCTTTTCCTCCAAACATAACAATGGTCATTATGGGCAAACAGCTCTATTTTTGTTTCATCAGACCAGAGGATATTTCTCCAAAAAGTACGATCTTTGTCCCCATGTGCAGTTGCAAACCGTAGTCTGGCTTCTTCCTTGCTGAGCGGCCTTTCAGGTTATGTCGATATAGGACTCGTTTTACTGTGGATATAGATACATTTGTACCTGTTTCCTCCAGCATCTTCACAAGGTCCTTTGCTGTTGTTCTGGGTTGATTTGTACTTTTTGCACCAAAGTACGTTCATCTCTAGGAGACAGAACGTGTCTCCTTCCTGAGCGGTATGACGGCTGCGTGTTCCCATGGTGTTTATACTTGCATACTATTGTTTGTACAGATGAACGGTACCTTCAGGCGTTTGGAAATTGCTCCCAAGGATGAACCAGACTTTGCTGATTTCTTTTGATTTTCCCATGATGTCAAGCAAAGAGGCACTGAGTTTGAAGGTAGGCCTTGAAATACATCTACAGGTACACCTCCAATTGACTCAAATGATGTCAATTAGCCTATCAGAACCTTCTAAAGCCATGACATCCTTTTCTGGAATGTTCCAAGCTGTTTAAATGCAGTCAACTTAGTGTATGTAAACTTCTGACCCACTGGAATTGTGATACAGTGAATTATAAGTGAAATAATCTGTCTGTAAACAATTGTTGGAAAAATTACTTGGGTCTTGCATAAAGCAGATGTCCTAACCCACTTGCCAAAACTATCGTTTGTTAACAATAAATTTGTGGAGTGGTTGAAAAACTAGTTTTAATGACTCCAACCTAAGTGTATGTAAACTTCTGACTTCAACTGTATGTCATGTTGAGCTTCATGTGACTCAGGCAAAATAAACGAATATGCATCCTGGAAATACCACCACAATCTCATCTAAACTAGTTAGCACTGACATTAACATATCCATATCTACAGTACTACATAATGACAACACCATTACATAATCTAGCCCTGGAGGTCACAGCAATGAACTTCACCTAAGCCCAGAGGGATCAATCATTCAAATTCTCTTTATCTTCTCCCTGAAAGTTGCCAGGTTTCTAGGACCACGCTGTGCTCCATGCCAGCCAGGATGAAACAAAGGCAAGATTTACACTGCAGCTGTTCATTTCCCCCAGATAATCCCCTAGGACTTAGATATATTTCAGTGTCAGGACCTAGATATCTTTCAGTGTACATGACTCGACCGGGTGTACATGACTCGACCCCCAACGTTCCAATCTCCGGGCGTACACTCAAAGCACAAGGCCCCTGAGTTGGTCATTGATTTGATAAAGCAAAGGTCCATATGAAATTAAAATACATATATCATGCCATCCAATAAATCAATGGAATGACCCATTTTATGTTTCCAAGCTGCTGTAATGCAGTCATAAGAAAACAAGCTTTCTTACCCACAGTGGCGGCAGGAGAGTTGGCCTTCCATGGCCCTGCCACGCAGACAACTGGCACAGAATGTGTGGTAACGGTTCAGCAGACAGGGGTGTTCGTTCTGCTCATGGCTCAAGTGGCATACCAAGGGGTGACAGTTGGTACTGTCTGGTTCATATAGCTTCTCCAAAGGGTAGAATACACCACAGAAGGATGGCGGCATCTTAATTGGGGAGGACAGGCTCGTGGTAATGGCTGGAGCGGAATTCGTGGAATGGTATCAAATACACCAAACACATGGTTTCCATGTGTTTTATGCCATTCCATTTGCTCCGTTCCAGCCATTATTATGAGCCGTCCTGCCCTCAGCAGCCTCCACTGCTCCACATATCTGAAAATACAACACAGGAAAGCCCATCACAGTGATGCTAATCTATGTCGGTGATGTTTCAGTAGAGCCTCATAGGGGACACTACAGGCTCCACTGACTCCTGTCAAATGTCATGCATTGGTTCCTAATGCAGAATGGAACAATAATGGGCACACATAGTATATCTTGTCATTTTTCACCTTGTTGTCTGCCTCCCTGCTCACTATGCCAGAGTTTATTACATCACTTTTGGCAAGGAACTATAGCCCAATAACTGTATTTGTCATTAAGACCAGGGTTATGAAGATGCCATTATGAAGTCACCAATCAGAGAGCAGGGTTTTGACAAAGTCATAATGAATGGACCAATCAGAAAGCAGGGTTATGACAATTTCATTATGAAGGGACCAATCAGATAGCAGTGTTATGGCAATGTCATAATAAACAACCTATCAGAGCAGGGTTATGGTGATGTCGTAATCAAGGGACCAATCAGAGAGCAGGGTCATGATGATGACGTTATGAAGGAACCAATAAGAGAGCAGCATTATGACGACGTAGTCATGAAGGGACCACCAATCAGGGAACAGGGTTATGACGACGTTGTAATGAAGGGACCAATTAGAGTGTAGCGTAATGAAGAACCAATGAGTGAGCAGGGTTTTGACAATGTCATTATGATTGACCTCTGATTCAGAGGGGTTGGGTTAAATGCAGAAGACACATTTAGGTTGAATGCATTCAGTTGTGCAACTGACTAAGTATCCCCTTTCCCTAATTGGTCATTATGGACCAAAAAACAACAACATCCTATGTGTTTTTGTGTTTATTGTTTGTTTGTGATGTTTTTTATTACAATTTGTAGAAAGATGTATCGTTTCTAACACCTTTGTACTTCTTATTCTTCTAAATGTATGGAATTTCAATAAGATATATAAAAAAATGTTAAGCCTTTTAATCAAACTCTGATGCCGTGATTGTATCGACTAGATCGGCGATTGATTCATCAAGCCAAAATTCAACGCACGCGCAAACCCCGCTCTTCCTTTCTGCTAAATTCTTCGCCATGGCTCCTGTGGTGGGTACAATCGCGTGTGAAAAATTGTTCAAATATGTCACTTTTTCACGATTAAAACGGCTGTACATTATTTGTATACATCGGGGCATATTTGGGAGGGCTTATGTAATCCTTAATAATGCTAAACAAGGCACTGAATTGGGTTTTATAATTCACGAGGCCCGCTAAATAAGTTTCTTTTTGGTGCTAGTTTAGCTAACGAGAGCTAGCCAGATCCACCACGTTGTAGCTACACAAAACGTTTTATGGTCAGCAGTAGTTTGATTAGTTAAATTGCAAAAATATTGGTCTGGTTATTACTTAAGGAGCCACCTGACTAAAGCTTCCTCTGAATTGGGGATTAGTTAAAACATAGTTGATGTCTAAGGTTGTAGTGCGTATGGTGGTGAACTAACGTTAGCTAGTTAGCTGTCTAGAATCTAAACGGAACAGCTACAATGGTAGTGACAGTGTTATTTTTAATTGGCTGTCAATCTGATCTGCAGAAGAAGCAGAGCACCAAGGGGTCCAAGGGTGGCAAGAAGAAGAAGCAGGTCCTGAAGTTCACTCTGGACTGCACCCACCCTGTGGAAGATGGCATCATGGATGCTGCCAACTTTGTAAGTAGTTTTGCAGTTGCACTGACAGGTTTTATACCTGTGCCTGGTTGCAATGAAAATCAAATGTTTAAGTTGCACAAACACCCTTATTCGAAACCCTCTTTAGCCACAATCCTGAATTGTTTCAGCCCTTCTGCAGTGGCCACTTGGTTTAGTATAAACTGAAGGATGGAAGGAGCTTGTAAAATGACAGTTCATGGGATCGACATGAGTCATGTTGAACAGAATCGTCCAATGCAGCCGTTTTTATCTCAATATCAAATAACTTCCGGGTAACAATTGTTACCTTACTGTGATTGTTTTCAATTAAAATGATAAAGAAACATAGCAATGAGCAATTTCTCAAGCAATAATTTTGCTAGGACTATGGGAGTGGTCTGAGTGGGGAGGGAGAAACTGAAAATGTGCAGTTATTGGTAGAGGTTTGGAACTCTTTCTTATTGGTCTATTAACACTTACCGCCTAGTGATGTCACCAGGAAGGACAAAACACCATCCCACCAAAACAGGCTTACATTTCAGGCTGTCTTTTCAAACAACTCTTACACTAAAAGGGCTTTCACAATTTCACAGCATTATTCCAACCTCATAGTGTGGAAATATACATAAAACTGGTCCTTTAAATTCCAAGCGGGGTTTACACCAGCTAGCAACCTGCACAACAACACACACAACTCAAAGCCTACTGTGTTTGCTGATAGAGCAAGAGACTAGTTGGTCACTCCATGTGCGACAGTTGGCTTTAGATCCCAGTGAAGGTGTGATGTCACCGATGTGCTCCAGCCAACAGGGTAGTTTCACATCCTTTACACTAGTAATGTTATGCATCTGTCAATCTTTTGTTTTTGGAAATTAGAAATACAGTTGAAGTTTACATACAGTTAGGTTGGAGTCATTAAAACTTGTTTTTCAACCACTCCACAAATTTCTTGTTAACAAACTATAGTTTTGGCAAGTCGGTTAGGACATCTACTTTGTGCATGACACAAGTAATTTTTCCAACAATTGTTTACAGACAGATTATTTCACTTATAATTCACTGTATCACAATTCCAGTGGGTCAGAAGTTTACATACACTAAGTTGACTGCCTTTAAACAGCTTGGAACATTCCAGAAAAGGATGTCATGGCTTTAGAAGGTTATGATAGGCTAATTTACATCATTTGAGTCAATTGGAGGTGTACCTGTGGATGTATTTCAAGGCCTACCTTCAAACTCAGTGCCTCTTTGCTTGACATCATGGGAAAATCAAAAGAAATCAGCCAAGACCTCTGGAGTCTGGTTCATCCTTGGGAGAAATTTCCAAACACCTGAAGGTACCACGTTCATCTGTACAAACACCATGGGACCATGCAGCCGTCATACCGCTCAGGAAGGAGACGTGTTCTGTCTCCTAGAGATGAACGTACTTTGGTGCGAAAAGTGAAAATCAATCCCAGAACAACAGCAAAGGACCTTGTGAAGATGCTGGAGGAAACCGGTACAAAAGTATCTATATCCACAGTAAAACGAGTCCTATATCGACATAACCTGAAAGGCCGCTCAGCAAGGAAGAAGCCACTGCTCCAAAACCGCCATAAAAAAGCCAGACTACGGTTTGCAACTGCGCATGGGGACAAAGATCGTACCTTTTGGAGAAATGTCCTCTGGTCTGATGAAACAAAAATAGAACTGTTTGGCCATAATGACCATCGTTATGTTTGGAGGAAAAATGGGGTAGCTTGCAAGCCGAAGAACACCATCCCAACCGTGAAGCACGGGGGTGGCAGCATCATGCTGTGGGGGTGCTTTGCTGCAGGAGGGACTGGTGCACTTCACAAAATAGTTGGCATCATGAGGAAGGAAAATTATGTAGATATATTGAAGCAACATCTCAAGACATCAGGAAGTTAAAGCTTGGTCGCAAAAGGGTCTTCCAAATGGACAATGACCCCAAGCATACTTCCAAAGTTGTGGCAAAATGGCTTATGGACAACAAAGTCAAGGTATTGGAGTGGCCATCACAAAGCCCTGACCTTAAACTTATAGAACATTTGTGGGCAGAACTGAAAAAGCGTGTGCGAGCAAGGAGGCCTACAAACTTGTCTCAGTTACACCAGCTCTGTCAGGAGGAATGGGCCAAAATTCACCCAACTTATTGTGGGAAGCTTGTGGAAGGCTACCCGAAACGTTTGACCCAAGTTAAACAATTTAAAGGCAATATACTCAATTAGTATTTGGTAGCATGTACACTTCTGACCCACTGGGAATGTAATGAAATAAATAAAAGCTGAAATAAATCATTTTCTCTACTATAATTCTGACATTTTCACATTCTTAAAATAAAGTGGTGATCCTAGCTGACCTAAGACAGGGAATTTTTACTAGGATTAAATGTCAGGAATTGTGAAAAACTGAGTTTAAATGTATTTGGCTAAGGTGTATGTAAACTTCCAACTTCAACTGTATATGCTTACACAGTATGTTTTAATGGTTACAGGAGCAGTTCCTCCAGGAGCGCATCAAGGTGAACGGGAAAGCTGGCAACCTGGGTGGTGGTGTGGTGTCTATTGAGAGGAGTAAGAGCAAGATCACAGTTTCCTCTGAGGTCCCCTTCTCCAAAAGGTACAGTAACTGCACTGGCAACTCAAGACTGTAGTAATCAAAATTGCAATTCAGACAAAATGTGTATATTAATTATTGTAAAAAAAAAAAAAAAAGATTTATCAAACGTCTTTCACCCAATAAATTGTCTGTTTACATGTTCGAGCTACTAAAGCTTTGGTAAATGCTTACGTCGTCACAATAATTGCTCATATGAATAATTTACTTACTTTCGCACTGCTTACGATGGATAAATGAGGCCACTTGTTATTATAGAGGTCTATCTGTAGTATTTTTGTTTAGTTTCTGGTGTTGATATTGATGATGGCAATATTGACTTTTGGCTATGTAGAATTCAACTATTCATAATTCCCACTTAACTCCCGAATGCTTTATGGCTTATCTCCTGCATCTGTCATGCACCAGTAACATTATGTGCATTAATGTTAGTATACACTGGCAGTGAACTGAATTCTCCCTCAGACTTCCTTGTCGAGTTTACCCACCCCTGCCGATGAATACCCTAACCGCACGTGACTGCGCTACAGTATCATTCTTCAACCTGTGCTGTGTTTTTGTGATTCATTAAGTTGGGTTGAGGTGTATAGCAACAAAGAAAACGTTTGCTTTACTAGGTTGTTTTGTATGTGTATTGCATTGGGGAAAACATTGAAAGACAAAGCCTAACCTCACATCTGAATGTCATCTTTCTCCAGATATCTGAAATATCTGACCAAGAAGTACTTGAAGAAGAATAATCTTCGCGACTGGCTGCGTGTTGTGGCCAACACCAAGGAGAGCTACGAGCTACGCTACTTCCAGATCAACCAGGATGAGGAGGAGGAAGATGATGAGGATTAAACCTCCAGTCTGCTGGATTTTGTACATTTAATAAATTCTTAGAGTACTCCTGTTGTATTTTATTTAAAAAAATTGTTTTTCTCTATGGTGACAAGACAACAGGAGTATACACTAGGAACCAACAACAGCAAATGGTCCAAAACGGGGAGCGATCGAACTGAATTTGTCCAACAAGAAACGAGTTTGCTGCAGTGGGTCGGCAGGTAGCTTAGTGGGTAAGAGCGTTGTGCCAGTAACCGAAAGGTCGCTGGTTCTAATCCCCGAGCCGACTAGGTGAAAAATCTGTCGATGTGCCCTTAAGCAAGGCACTTAACCCTAATTGCTCCTGTAAGTCGCTCTGGATAAGAGCGTCTGCTAAATGACTAAAATGTAAATGTAAAATGTGTGCATTACTGAATACACCCTATATCTATGGGTGACGATCAGTCAACCTACTGTTGTGACAATGCAGTACACTAGATCAGGGATGGGCAACTGGCAGCCCCTTTTGAAGGCCATTAGATCAATTTAAAATAAAATTGAAATTTTCGGTGTTTAAGCCTACTGTTGCTAGTTAGAATAGTAAAATACACAAGGTAAAATTTGGTTGTGCATCAGCATTTTCCTCCCTGCCCCATGTAAAAATGTGTACAATTGCAAACTTGCTTTAAAACTGCAACATGTTCTCTACGCCCCATGGCAAAGTGTAGAATTGCACAAAATTAACTAAAACAAAGATTCTCTCCACTGTCAAGGTGGGCCTCAAATGTTTTCCTCGCAATGTGGGGGGATGCACGTATGTACACAGACCATGCAAACGCGGCCCCCATCCCTGCACACGTCCCGTGTAGCTCAGGTGTTTGAGCATGGCGCTTACAACGCCAGGGTTGTGGGTTCGATTCCCACGGGGGACCAGTGAAAATGTATGCACTCACTACTGTAAATTGCTCATCTGCTAAATGACTAAAATGTATTTTAAAAATCCAGACAAGAGCCAACCTACTGCAATGTTAATCCAGCATAACTAAATGTACAGGTAACTGCCAAATAAAAGAAAATGCCAACATAAGTGTTTTAATAGGAAGTTGGGCCACACTAGCTCTAAAGCACCTTGGCATAGATTCTACAAGTGTCTGGAACTCTATTGGAGGGATGAGACGCCATTCTTCCACCATTTGGTGTTTTGATGGTGGAAAACGCTGTCTCAGGCACCGTTCCAGAATCTCCCATAAGTGTTGAGATCTGGTGACAGACATAGGGTACATTGTTTTCATGCTCATCAAACCATTCAGTGACCACTCATGCCCTGTGGATGGGGGCATAACCATGGTAGGCACAATAATGGCCTGCCCAGTATTTCTATACATGACCCTAAGCATGATGGGATGTTAATTACTGAATTTAGGAACCACACCTGCTTTCAATATACTTTATATCCATTTACTCATGTTTCCATTGTTTTGGTAGTTACCTGTACATCATGAAGCTTTCCTATTTGGTAACTTGGAACTGTGTAAGGTGTGATATGTTCATTAGTAAATGGGGAAGTTCGGTTGTCATGACAGAAATTCCACTGAGCAGGGACAAGGCCTGATGAGTTGAATTAGAAGTGTGGCCCCAATTCAAGTAGTGGTGGGGGTAGGGGGCAGAGAACAGACAGAAGAAAATCAACCAATTTACATAAAACCTTTATTACAATGAAAAAGTTAACATTTTAAACCAGATGCAAACCTTCTGACCCAGACACCACTGAAATAATTTGTTGCAATACAGGTAGACTAACAAATTAAGAAAAAACCCCATCTTGATTTAAAACCAGGATATCCACTCATTACATACACACCTTGTTGACCATTTGCACTAAAACAGAGGCGCATGACTCAAGTCCTCACAAACCACATTCTTGCTGGTTTTCATTGCCAAGAGCGCACAGTGCCCACACCTACTTTCCCAGGCTAAAAAAGGAGTCACTGGAAAAAAAGGCAAGAATGACAAGCAGACACTGGCCTTTAAGGGACAGTTAGTTACACATCCTCAAGAAACAGAAAACCAAGGAATGTAACAGAAGTCAATGGCTGGAGAGGTGGCACATCTCAGATCCTGATTGTGTTCTACTGACAGTGCACACCGATCGACCAGACACAAACACAGTAATACTGCCATGGACAAAGTTTTAAACTAAATTTTGCAATTGGTCTGTGAACAAATAAACACATTTACTCCATACCCCGAAATACATTGTTTCAAAAGGCACAGATATGGAGTGTTGGTCTTGAATTGATCCCTCGCTTGGAAATTAAATTAGCCCAAAGAGGACTTCTGATGTAGCACCCATTATTGTGAGGGAGACGAGGGCATTGATCAGTTCACAACTGAAGAATAAAAAGTGACTTCATGAAAATAGAGAACGCTTCAGCGGACTTGCAGGAGGAGTACAAGTAGAACTCCTAGTGGAAGAATGTGTTTGGAGATGAGTGGTAGAGTTCCTCTCTCTCCAGCTGTAGATGTCTGATGAGTGTTGTGAGGACAGGACGAATTCTGTCACGAGTGGATTTGTTTCAGTCTACGTTTTTGCGACACATTTTCTGCAATTTAACCTCAGAATCTATGTAGACCAGACTTCTTTTCAAGGCGTATGCATACATACATACTCGTGAGAGCCCACCCTCCCCAGCCATCATGACTTACACAGGTGACCTAGAGGGCAGATGCATTCTGGAGAGAATCGGTTGCCTCTCTGAAGTGAAAAGAAAGAAAAAAAAAAGTGAGAGGTGGCTGGATGATACCATATCAGAGTGTGCGTGGGTTGTACTCTGGCAGCTTCTTGAGCTTCTCTTGTTCCTGTGGAGTGTCCTGTCTGGCGATGACCAGGGAGTGTGCGTATCCCATCATCACCTGCAACCACACCACAGTGAGAATGGCCCAAACTAGAGCGAACAAACACACACACCTAAATGCAGTTCCCATCTACAGAAAACATAAGTGGGAATTCAAATTCATCATTGTTTATTCAGTCACTGTTGCCGCTGCGCACCTGTTCAGCGTAAACTCCATCCAGGCTCTTAACCTCCTGAGCAGTAGTGGAGGACTTTGCCTTGTTGTCGCCATAACCCTGTAACAAACACAAATCCACATGTCATAATGGGTGGAGAACCCGGAACACGTGCACCAATTCAGCAGTCTTTTATGAGCACACCAGCACCATAGTATGTTTCTATAATGTTGTATACCACCTTGGGTGTGAGAAATTTGCTTTATACAATTAATTATGATTAAATCTTACCAGCTCGCCAAAGGTGGGGGAGGGTCCCCAACTGATGGTGCTGTCGTCTGCAGCGATAACAATACTGCTTTTCCCGCACGCCAGACTGCGGACCTTCCAGCCACACAGGTCCTGCACAGCCTTGGGGTACATGGTAGACTCCCGCGAGGTATTTGTGACCCCCCAGAAAAACAGCCCTCCTGCACACGAAAGGTTAATAGTGTAGCTTCCTTATTAAAACACCTGCATCCTGGTCAAGAGTTTCCAACTCGCGTAATAGCTACGGTGTTAGACTGACAGACGCTAGCTTCAAATCCTGATTGGTATACCCTTTGAAATCACTACAATATACATCAGGTACTTAGGAAAGTAGCAGTAGTATTATGGGCATTATATTGATACTTAAAAAAAAAAGATATCTATTAATTTCTCAACATTCCGAGGAGTTAAGCATTGTGTCCCATACCCATTTCATTGACAGCGAAGGAGCACTGGTAGCCAGAGTAGATTTGAGATGCCCCGCGCCCGGGGAAGTCAAAGAGCTTCACCAGTCTGGGCACCATCTCATCCTTCTGCTCAGTGTGACCCAGCCGCCCGTAGCCACCAAAGCCCCAGGAAAACACCCGCTTCTGGGAATCCAATATCAGCTGCACACACAAAGTTTACACACTGTTGACCGTGATAACAAAAAATAAGTGGTAAAAAAAAAAAGGTACCGGTATTTGTGAATTAACTACAGCCATTGAAAGTGAACACATTTTGAGTAGACTATCGCTTTCAATGCAGTCTGGTACCAAATGTTATCAGACCAGCTCCCTTTTTGCACCCAGATTTAAGGATCAGAATGCAGAGGTCTCCATCTGCAGGTTCATTAATTAAATATGAAGGGAACACTACATTCAGCAATTATGCAAAAGTAGAGTGGGCCCAGTTGGTAGAGCATGGCGCTTGCAACGCCAGGGTTGTGGGTTCGATTCTCACGGGGGACCAGTAAGAAAATGTATGCACTCACTGCAGTAAGTCGCTCTGGATAAGTGTCTCTGCTAAATAAATAAAACGTAGGGGGGTGGGGGGATTAATGTACATCAACATTTCGGCTAAACACAAATTTCTAAAATTCACATTTCTGGCTGATGGGGTAATTGTGGCAGTGGGGATCAAAGCATGTATTCATAAAGTGTCTCAAAGTAGGAGTGCTGATCTAGAATCAGGTCCCCCCTCTACATGTAATCTTATTCATTATAATCTAAATGGCCAAACTGATCCTAAATTCAGCATTCCTGCCCTCATTTTTTTTACCCCTTTTTCTCCCCATTTGGTAGTTACAGTCTTGTCCCGTCGTTGCAACTCCCCTACGGACTCAGGAGATGTGAAGGTTGAGAGCCATGCCTCCTCCGAAACACGACCCTGCCAAGCCACACTGCTTCTTGACACACTGCTCGCTTAACCCGGAAGCCAGCCGTCCAGCTAGCGACCGCAGTCAGCTTGCAGGCAACCGGCCCGCCACAAGGAGACACCAGAGCACGTTGGGACAAGGAAATCCCGGCCGCCCAAACCCTCCCCTAACCCGGACAACGCTGGGCATATTGTGCGTTGCCTCATGGGTCTCCCGGCAGTGACGCCTCAAGCAGTGCCTTAGACCGCTGTGCCACTCGGGAGGCCCTCAGCATTCCTTCTCTAAGACCATGAATACGGGTCCCGGTCTTTTCTCTCCTCACCGTGTGATTGCCTCCGCAGGCAACGTCTCGGACCACCACGTTGGGTACGGGCGTCACCTGGCCATCCTTACTCTTCTCGATGAAGATGGTCACGCGACGTGCAATGGTCTCACAGTCAAACTCGATGCGCTGGGCACGGGCAATGAACTTTCCATCAGAGTTGTGTCCTGTGACCCAAAACACAAGGTAAAAATAAGTGCTACGCCAGTGTTGGATTTGGAATGACTTTAACTGGGTCATTGTGCTACCATTTTCCTCTTCAAAAGAGCAACTTTGGTGAAACTTTAAAAAGCATTAATCTGTCCAGTACTGCTCCTTAGTTGAGGACATACCTAGCTGGCCATACTCTGGGCAGCCGAACGAGTAGAGGTTCCCTTTGCAGTCCACCACCATGCTGAACTCTGCCCCACATGCCACCTTGACCAAGGGCTGCCCGTTGTACTGGATCTGAGAGGGGCAAGGAGAAGCTTCAATAAGCACAGGCTCACTAAGTGGCCATATTACACTTATAATAAAGAAGCAACAATAATGAGGCAGATGAATAGGGAGGTTTATGTTGCTTACCGGGGCTGGACTGAGGACTGCATCAGTTTGGTTGCCCTGACCCAGTTGACCCAGTTTGTTCTCTCCAAACGAGTAGGCGGTGCCACCCTCAGTCAATGCCAGGGTGTGGTTGCGTCCACAGGCTGCAGCCACCACCACCTCGTCTGCGAGGGCCTCAATCAGCTTTGGGGCCTCCAGGCGCTTGGTGTCCCCATGACCCAGCTGACCCTTTTCATTTCGACCTAACAGAGGCAGAAAGAGGTCAACAAGGACCCTTCCTCCTGGACTCAAACCAGCTAGAATGATTACATCTGAGATATAGATACAGTGCATTCAGAAAGTATTCAGACCCCTTGACTTCTACCACTGTTACGTTACAGCCTTACTCTAAAATAGATGAAATGTTTTTCTTCCATCAATCTTCACACAATACCCCATAATCAAAGCGAAAACAGGACTAGAAATCTATGCAAATTTATTAAAAATTAAAACAAATACATTACCAGTCAAAAGTTTGGACACACCTACTCATTAAAGGGTTTTTCTTAATTTTTACATTGTAGAAGAATAGTGAAGACATCAAAACTATGAAATAACATATGGAATCATGTAGTAACCAAAAATAAAAAAGTGTTCAATCAAAATACATTTTATTTGAGATTTTTCAAATAGCCACCCTTTGCCTTGATGACAGCGTTGCACATGTAGCATTCCCTCAACCAGCTTCATGGAGGTAGTCTCAACCTGGAATGCATTTCAATTAACAGGTGTGCCTTCTTAAAAGTTAATTAGTGGAATTTATTTCCTTCTTAATGTGTTTGAGCCAATCAGTTGTGTTCTGACAAGGTGGGGGGTATACAGAACATAGCCCTATTTGGTAAAAGACCAAGTCCATATTATGGCAAGAACAGCTCAAATAAGCAAAGAGAAATGACAGTCCATCATTACTTTATGACATGAAGGTCAGTCAATACGGCAAATGTCAAGAACTTTGAAAGTTTCCTCAAGTGCAGTCGCAAAAACCATCAAGCTCTATGATGAAACTGGCTCTCATGAGGACCGCCACAGGAATGGAGACCCAGAGTTACCTCTGCTGCAGAGGATAACTTCATTAGAGTTACCAGCCTCAGAAATTGAAGCCCATATAAATGCTTCACAGAGTTCAAGTCACAGACACATCTCAACATCAACTGTTCAGAGGGGACTGTGTGAATCAGGCCTTCATGGTCAAATTGCTGCAAAGAAACCACTATGAAATGTGTTGTTTGGTCCAAAGTTGTCCAAAATTGAGATTTTTGGTTCCAACCGCCGTGTCTTTGTGATACGCGGTGTGGGTGAACAGATGATCTCTGCATGTGTATTTCTCACCGTAAAGCATGCAGGTGTTATGGCGCTTTGCTGGTGACACTGATTTATTTAGAATTCAAGGCACACTTAACCAGCATGGCTACCACAGCGATACACCATCCCATCTGGTTTGGGCTTAGTGGGACAATCATTTGTTTTTCAACAGGACAATGACCCAACACACCTCCAGGCTGTGTAAGGGTTATTTTACCAAGAAGGAGAGTGATGGAGAGCTGCATCAGTTGACCTGGCCTCCACAATCCCCCGACCTAAACCCAATTGAAATGGTTTGGGATGAGTCGGACGGCAGAGTGAAGGAAAAGCAGCCAACAAGCGCTCAGCATATGTGGGAACTCCTTCAAGATTGTTGGAAAAGCATTCCAGGTGAAGCTCAGTTGAGAGAATGCCAAGAGTGTGCAAAGCCATCATCAAGGCAAAGGGTGCCCATTTGAAGAATCTCAAATAAAATATATTTTGATTTAACACTTTTTTGGGTTACTACATGATTGTGTGTTATTTCATAGTTGAGGTCTTCACTATTATTCTACAATGTAGAAAACAAACATCCCTTGTTCAGGACCCTGTCTTTCAAAGATAATTCGTAAAAATCCAAATAGCTTCACAGATCTTCATTGTAAAGGGTTTAAACACTGTTTCCCATGCTTGTTCAATGAACCATAAACAATTAATGAACATGCACCTGTGGAACGGTCATTAAGACACTAACAGCTTACAGACGGTAGGCAATTAAGGTCACAGTTATGAAAACTTAGGACACTAAAAGAGGCCTTTCTACGGACTCTGAAAAACACCAAAAGAAAGACGCCCAGGGTCCCTGCTCATCTGTGTGAACGTGCCTTAGGCATGCTTCAAGGAGGCATGAGGACTGCAGATGTGGCCAGGGCAATAAATTGCAATGTTAGTACTGTGAGACGCCTAAGACAGCGCTACAGGGAGACAGGACGGACAGCTGATCATCCTCGCAGTGGCAGACCACGTGTAAGAATACCTGCACAGGATCGGTACATCACACCTACGGGACAGGTACAGGATGGCAACAACTGCCCGAGTTATACCAGGAACGCACAATCCCTCCATCAGTGCTCAGACTGTCCGCAATAGGCTGAGAGAGGCTGGACGGAGGGCTTGTAGGCCTGTTTTAAGGCAGGTCCTCACCAGACATCACCGGCAACAACGTCGCCTATGGGCACAAACCCACCGTCGCTGGACCAGACAGGACTGGCAAAAAGTGCTCTTCACTGACGAGTTGGTTTTGTCTCACCAGGGGTGATTGTCGGATTCTAGTTTATCGTCGAAGGAATGAGCGTTACACCGAGGCCTGTACTCTGGAGCGGAATCGATTTGGAGGTGGAGGGTCTGTCACGGTCTGGGGCGGTGTGTCACAGCATCATCGGACTGAGCTTGTTGTCATTGCAGGCAATCTCAACGCTGTGCGTTACAGGGAAGACATCCTCCTCCCTCATGTGGTACCCAGCCATACTGCTCGTTCTGTGCGTGATTTCCTGCCAGACAGGAATATCAGTGTTCTGCCATGGCCAGCGAAGAGCCCGGATCTCAATCCCATTGAGCACGTCTTGGACCTGTTGGATCGGAGGGTGAGGGCTAGGGCCATTCCCCCCAGAAATGTCCGGGAACATGCAGGTGCCTTGGTGGAAGAGTGGGGTAACATCTCACAGCAAGAACTGGCAAATATGGTGCAGTCCAAGTGGAGGAGATGCACTGCAGTACTTAATGCAGCTGGTGGCCACACCAGATACTGACTTACTTGTGATTTTGACCCCCTTTGTTCAGGGACACATTATTCCATTTCTGTTAGTCACATGTCTGTGGAAGTTTATGTCTCAGTTGTTGAATCTTATGTTCATACAAATATTTACACGTTAAGTTTGCTGAAAATAAACAGTTGACGTTTATTTTGTTTGCTGAGTTTAGTAAAAAGAAAAGAAAAACCCTTGAATGAGTAGGTGTGTCCAAACCTTTGACTGACACTGTACCTTATTTACATAAGTATTCAGACCCTTTGCTATGAGACTTGAAATTGAGCTCAGGTGCATCCGGTTTCCATTGATCATCCTTGATGTTTCTACAACTTGATTGAAGTCCACCTGTGGTAAATTCAATTGAATGGACATGATTTGGAAAGGTATACACTCGTGTATATAAAAGGTTCCACAGTTGACTGCATGTCAGCGCAAAAACCAAGCCATGAGGTTGAAGGAATTGTCCGTAGAGCTCCGAGACAGGATTTTGTCGAGGCATAGATATGGGGAAGGGTACAAACACATTTCGGCAGCATTTAAGGTCCCCAAGAACACAGTGGCCTCCATCATTCTTAAATTGAAGAAGTTTAGGAAGAGCCTTGGTGGTTCCAGAGCTGGCCGCCCGGCCAAACTGAGTAATCGGGGGAGAAGGGCCTCAAGATCCCGAAGGTCACTCTGACAGAGCTCCAGAGTTCCTCTGTGTAGATGGGTGAACCTTCCAGAAGGACAACCATCTCTGCAGCACTCCACCAAACAGGACTTTATGGTAGAGGGGCCAGATGTAAGCCAGTCCTCAGGAAAAAGGCACGACAGCCTACTTGGAGTTTGCCAAAAGGCACCTAAAGGACTCTCAGACCATGAGAAACAAGATTCTCTGGTCTGATGAAACCAAGATTGAACTCTTTGGCCTGAATGCCAAGCGTCACATCTGGAGGAAACTTGGCACCATCCCTACGGTGAAGCACAGTGGTGGCAGCATCATGCTGTGGGGATGTTTTTCAGGGACTGGGAGACTAGTCAGGTTCGAGGGAAAGATGAACGGAGCAAAGTAGAGCGATCCTTGATGAAAACCTGCTCCAGAATGCTCAGGACCTCAGACCGGGGCGAAGGTTCACCATCTAACAGGACAACGACCCTAAGCACACAGCCAAATCAATGCACGAGTGGCTTCAGGACAAGTCTCTGAATGTCCTTTAGTGGCCCAGCCAGAGCTCGGCCTTGAACCCGATCGAACATCTCTAGAGAGACCTGAAAATAGCTGTGCAGCTACGCTCTCCATCCATCTTGACAGAGCTTGAGGATCTTCAGAGAAGAATGGGAGAAACTCTCCAAATACAGGTGTGCCAAGCTTGTAGCATCATACCCAAGAAGACTCAAGGCTGTAAACGCTGCCAAAGGTACTTCAACAAAGTACTGAGTAAAGGGTCTGAATACTTACGTAAATGCAGCTTTTTAAAAAAAATATAAATTGTTAACATTTCTAAAAACCTGTTTTTGCTTTGCTATTATGGGGTATTGTGTGTAGATTGAGGGGGAGGGAAACAATTTTATAAGGCTGTAACGTAACAAAATGTGGAAAAAGTAATGTCTGAATACTTTCCGAGTGCACTGTATATAAACTACGATCTATTACAGTACAGCATTCCTACCCCAGCTCCAGAGTTTGCCCTCTGTGGTGATGAGGAGGCTGTGGGCGGCACAGGGCCCAGACACCACGCTGCTGACCTGCACATCATTCAGGCAGCCGTAGCGGTGAGGACCCCACAGGTTCTGGCCTAGGTTCCTGAAGGCCGCTGAGAGACCACACACACGAAACACTTGACTTCAATACTGCAGTCAATTAGGAGGATTGCTTGAATAAAAACTTCCAAAGTAGGTAGCACCAGTGCTATTGAGGGACATCTTTCAGTCTGGAGCCGTGCATAAAGCTATGTTTTCATTACAGGACTGGGCAAGGTTATACCTTGTGCTTTTGGCACCTCTTTCCTTCCGATGAGATCCCAGTTGGTGGCTCCGAAAATGAGCAGTTGACCTTTGACTTTAGGTAAGTCAAGTTTCTACAGAAATGACAGACAGATCAGTGGCTCTTAATTTTGTTTTAGCCCTGCATAAGCACCCCTTATTCATGTGACTAAAAACATTTGTAGCCATGTTACATTCTCTATTCATGTTAACCACAATTATATAGTCACATCACAAACCCCTCGTTTGCTGATCTGAACAATTGATTTTACCTCATGCAGGTCAGGACACTTACAATTTTCTCTTTGATGTCGTCAGGCACAGTGACTGGTTGAAGGCCTGACTTTGCAGCAGGCTTGCCAGGTTTCTTTGTGTTCTCCTGCTCTTCATAATCATCAAACTCATCATCACTGCTGAACTCCCTTTCCTTCTTTTTACCTCCTGCCCGCTTCCTCTTGATCCCACCATTTCCAGACACTTCGGTTACCTTCTTGCGTGGCATGTTTGTAAAGGTATCTGGGGGGGAGAGTGTGTGGGGAAAACAAGACATGCATTGTGATATCAATACAACCGAAACCAAAATAATCGTGCTATGCTGAACTGATGAGATATTAAGATTTGCAATGCTTTTGAACTTGAGAAAGACATGCAAACAAACAGTCAAAGAAAACTAAGCATAAATGACTTGTCAATGAAACGTACACTTTACATTAAAGACTAAGTTAGAAAGCAACATATGCTAGCAATGATTAGCCATAGCGGCTCGCAGGTTAGCTAGCATTCTTGTCCGCTTTTCTTTGTTGTCTACGTGCTAGCATAATCAGTGGCTACTAGCTAGTTGTTAAGTAAAAAACGGCATGTGAACAAACATACCAATAGCTAACGTTAGTTACGGAAAATGACGAAAATAGCCACACAATGGAGGTTTACTGGACTTTGTTCAATGAATTAGCTAACTAAGTTAGTTACCCAATTTAGCTAGCCATCTGTGCTAACTAAGGCCATCTGCTAGCTAAGTAGCTAGCTAGTGTAATCTAACAATCGATTGCTAAACAAAGACAAACATTGGGTAACGTTAGCTAGCTAACTTAGTTGCAATACACCCGATTAAAATACTTTCTTTCCCCAACTGTAAAAGTTGAAGGTGAGAAGAAAATGTAGCTAAACCTTTTGGCTTCAGATAATCTTCCTTCTAACGTTAATTCGGTGACTACTGTAATTAACAAGCTTGCAGAGGGATTTCCCAATTCTGAGGCTTTCGTGCATCTGTCCGTCTTCCTCGTTTTTTGATTGATTTTAAACAATAGAATCTGCTGTCTCCGGCTCTATGAAACCACGTGGGTACTGCCTTACATTCGTTAAATTAGCTAGTTAGTCGGATAATGCAAAAAGCCATAACTTTTCAAATACTTACAACTCTCCCTTATGTATATTAGCTGCTGCTGCATGTGATTAAAGTTGTAAAATATAGCTAGCTATATGTTTCAATGCTTACCTGGGATTCGTTGTGGATGACTGGCCTATAGGTCTTTTGATTGATGGTCTTTTATCGTTAGGAGCCCTCCCCCTTCGTCGTCTGTCTTCTTTGTTAAAATGTAAATATGTGCGGAGACGTGACATACCGGTCGGTACTACAAAACACATGGGATTTGGAAAATGTAAAGAAACTACAACCCAGTAATCTACCAAAGTATCATGTCGCCCTCTTGTGACGGGGGTGTGAATACCATCCATGAGTGGCAAATGTTGTACAAATGTATAATAAAATATGCCATTTAGCAGACGCTTTTATCCAAAGCGATTTACAGTCATGCGTGCATACATTTTTTTTGTGTATGGGTGGTCCCGGGGATCGAACCCACTAGCTTGGCGTTACAAGCGCCGTGCTCTACCAGCTGAGCTACAGAGGACCATATTATTTAGGATAGAGCCACAGATTAAAGGGGATTTAGTTAAAACAATTCTTTGGCCAGAGCTAATTGCTCAATGTCAGTGAATGACATACTTTTTAACTGTTAATTTCAACAGCCTGACCCTGCCACTTTGTTTGGTAAATTTAGGGAACGGACTTGGGAAATGTTACCACTGAAATTCAGAATGACTGAAAGTTTGAAACATATTTGGAGCTATACATTGTAGACAATGTATAAAAAATACAACCTTGGAGTTTTATGATAGGGTAAGCTTAGTGACAACATTATAATGTTAAATAAATGTTAAATAAAAAATTAAAAAATATTTTTCAAAATGCCTGTGTAATTTAGTGCAGGCCTATAGGTGGCAGTCTTGCCTCTGACGTCTGACAATGGTCGAGTTTGTTTTGCATGGCCCGGTGCCCAGTGTAGGCAGAGTTTGTTCATTTTAGATCATTCCATTGGTCCTTAAGATAAATCTCCATTCACGTGGGGCACCGGGCCATCCAAAACGAACTCGACCATTAATCTCTTCCTTATCGTAGCTCAGCCCACATGTCTTAAGAATGATGTACCAGGATTCACACAAATCTGTGATTGGTGGAAATGCTGACCCTGTGCTCCTGATTGGCTGGTGGGGTGTTGAGCGCATTTATGCCTCTGTAGTGTAGGGCTGTGCCTGTTAACATCGCACTGCGGGGAGAGAAGGAGGAAAAGGGAGGGCGGGAGAGCGCTAAAGCATAGAGAGAGGATAGTTTCCTGATCCTAGTGTGGGAGCAGCAACTAGTGACAGCCTTTGTGTGGATAGAGCCAGGAGCTCAGGGCTAACCCTGTTGTGTGAGAGTGAACCGTACAGAGGACATCTACAACCCTCCTTGGATTTAGCTTCAGGGATGGTGCTTGGTCATCAAGTCAAGTGAGGGTATTAGGGATGGGTGGTGCAGACTCGACAAACCGGCTTCGTTGTTAACGCTTGTGGGTGTGCAGAGGAGAGTCCTTGGGATTAAGGGCTGAAGGAAGGCGTTTGGCTGGCTGGTGGCTATCTTTACAGAGAACAAGGAGGTGAGATCTCATTGTCTGTGGCTGTACAATACGCTATGTTTCTCTGCATCATCACATTGCAACAAAGCTTGGACCCCACTACTGAGGATGGGGAGGTGTGTGTGGTGGGGGGTGACCTCCAGATTTCAGGAGAGTGACCTGGTGCACTTGATAGGTTTACAGAGCAACCCATTTTGAGGAGAAGTGCATTCTGAAAATATTGTAGATAACAAATTCAGAGGAAAAACATAAGTCTGCAATACTGCACAGGGTCTTTAAATGCCTGAGGTGAGTCCCTTCGACTGCTGGAGGGAGAGAGAGAGGTGTAAGTATCTTATTATAAAATATCCAGTGGTTTTACTTAGGGAGATAAGTCTAGGTGTAATGATGTATAGTACAACAGTATCATAATATTTTCACATCTTTGGATGGGATGACATGGGAAACATTGGTTTGCAGCACCTGCTGTAAGAACAGCTATCACCTTTATTGATGCATGTGGTCTGTCATGCTCTCATAAAGTCTGGGAAATGTCATGTGTGGGCATATTTTGTTGCAATGTTATGTGGTGCATTTTGAAATGTAAAACTTAATTGCTGGTCATAAAATTATGCAGATTAATTTTCATTCTCACAGTATTGTCTGACTCTTATGTTTGATCAAGCAGAACTGACTATTGCACAGTAGTCAAAGCTCTTGTCCCTGACTAAATACATTTACCACCCTTATTACTTTAAATACAAACACAACTAATCTACTAGTTGAATATAGTTATAGATATTAATATTAAAAGTGACACACACATGCACTATTAACACTTCGCTGTTGCCGCTGCAACACATGTTGTCAGTAGTTTTTACATGCTTTCTTGCTGCAGTGGGGCAGTGATGTTTGCAACATACGTCCCAGAAACCAGGATAGAGGTTTCGATTGAGTAATGTCCTTGGTGTGGGAGTATGGAGTCAGCCACTGACTAGGGTTCCCTTCAGCCAAACAATCCATGCGCTGTTCTCTGTTCTCATACTGACTGTAGATCAGAGGTTTCTCTCTGCTGGGGTCTATTCATAAGACCACTCCATCTATGGGCGTCCTTCTCCCCATAGCCTTGTGAATTATTCATCAGAGTTGCGTCCCAAATGGCACCCTATGCCCTATATAGTGCACTACTCTATGGGCCTATGGTCTCTGTTCAAAAGTAGTGCACTATATAGGGAATGAGGTGCCATTTGGGACACAGCCCAGGAATGATCCTCCCTGGAGTGTGAGAGCTAGAAGTTCAATACGCCCCCTCAAAGAGCACGCTGATACCACCTTCATTTACCAGAATGTTTGCATTCAGCTACAGCCATTAGTTTTTTTGATAAGCGTTCTTTGAATGAAGCCCTTTGACCACAGTGTAGGTGTGTCTTTAGAATTAAAAGGTCCACCTAGTTGGGAGCCATTTTGATTTGTTAATCATTAATGAGGAGCATTTACGATGTTTCATGCCTGAGCTGATAGTCATCCTGTGTTAGGATGTGTTTATGGTTTCTGCCTGCCTTGCCCAGCTCATGGTGGACTGAAGTCAGTCTGTACTGCATGTCTGGATCTGCCACACACTTCTGAGGAATGTAACACACTCAGGTAGCCTATGGCAGAACAGTCAACTGCGAGCATGCATGGAACTGCCGCCAGGTGTACGTGTGTGTGTGTGTTTGGACTGCACATATACACTCACCGGACAGTTTATTAGGTACACCAGCCCGTTCATGAAAATGGATATATAAAGCAGGCAGACAGGCATCAAGGCATTCAGTTACTGTTCGATTGAACGTTAGAATGGGCAAAATTAGTGACCTTGATGATCGTCGGTGCCATGCGCCCTGGATCCTGTATCTCAGAAATGGACGCCCTCCTGGGCTTTTAACGCACCACAGTGTCTAGGGTTTACAGAGAATGGGCGAAAACAGCTCGTTGATGAGAGAGATCGAAGGAGAATGGCAAGAATCGTGCAAGCTAACAGGCGGGCCACAAACAGACAAATAAGGGCGCAGTTCAACAGTGGTGTGCAGAACGGCATCTTGGAACTCACAACTCGTTGATCCTTGTCATGGATGGGCTATGGCAGCAGACGACCACAACGGGTTCCACTCCTATCAGCTAAAAACTACAAGAAGCGGCTCCAGTGGGCACGCGATCACCAACACTGGACAACTGAAGAGTGGAAAAACATTGTCTGGAACTTGACAGCGAGTTCAGTTAACTTGAGTGGCCTGCGCAGTCCCCAGACCTCAACCCAATAGAGCATCTTTGAGATGAGATGGAACGGGCTGTTCGCAGCATGAATGTACCGCCTTCCAATCTGCAGCAACTGCGTGATGCTATCGCGTCAGCATGGACCAACATCCCTGTGGAATGTTTCTGACACCGTGTAGAATGCCCTAGAAGAATTCAGGCTGTTCTGGAGGCAAAGGGGCGTCCGACCCGGTACTAGATGTCCGGGGAGTCTCCACATAGGCCGTCTTGATAAGTGTAGGTTTGAGGTTGAGAGAGGTGACGTGTCAAAACTATTACAGACCATGTGACTGAGTTGTTCAGTGTTTAGTCATCATGACATGCAGCAACAAGCGTTCAGGAAGTTGTTTACTGGATAGTTAACCCTGGCAAACTATGTTACCATAAGTTAGTGATGTCACATTTATGGATATTTACAAGAAAAACAAGCTTGTATGCTGAGACTTTCAAAAAGCTCATTATGAAACCCAAAAGTCCAATGGCCTCAAAAATCTATATCGGAGCAAATCTGATATTTACATTTTGTCACATCGTATCAGGTTAAAAAATGTTCTCAGTGATTGTACATTCAATGGGTTGATTTGTTTTTACAGAGAGGCTGATGTGAACACCAATGGCTTCTCTACCCCCCCTCATCCCTCCAACCTCAGGTGAGTTTCTACTATCTTCAGTATCAGTATGTGCTGTATATTTCTGCCTTACAAAGAGGATATTTAGGAAAAATCTTATTAAAACACAGTCATAAAAAAAGTTAGAGTTATGAGAACTGTTCAGTAACAACTCCATTTATATACAATTACAAAGCAATTAGTACTATGTAACCACAATGAAGCAGAGGTGGGAGATAAGTGTATATTCATGTACTGTATATTTATGTGTGGTAAAGGATTTGTGAATATATTTGTGCTTCCTCAAGCAGAAGTTCCATCTGAGAAGCATTCCTTACAAACCCAATTTGGTAACAATGTGGAGACAGACAGTGACTTAAATTAGGTCAGCAGCCACACAGTGACATAGCAGCAGCAGCAACAGTACTAGTGTTACGTGGGACCTGAGGAATCTGTACACTCAAACATTAAACAAGGAACCTGTCCCAGACAAACAGAGAGTGCAGTGCTGTCATTGACTTCACTGAGATAACGTCCTGGCAGCTAAGGCTTCAGGCTACGGTTTGGAGCTACCTAATCCCTTCAGGGCTAGGGGAAAAGGTGAGAGCTCCCGGTATGGGGCCTTAGCCTACTGACCATATGCTGCGTCAGAAGGAATCCTGCTGCCACCCGGGCCATATGTCATGCCTTATACCCTCCAAACGAATCCACCTGCTAAGAATAGGCCAATGGGCAGTTAACATGCACTAGCCAGAGCAATGTTAGGCCCTGACATGACATGCTTCTCTTTTAGGTAGGTCCATTGCTCCTATAGTTTTTGTGGCATGAAAGAGGATGGCCATCAACTTAGCATCAATGTACCTGTTAAAGTTTAATAATTTTTTAGGCAGGGTAAGGTTTAATGGAGCAGAATAACAGTGCGTGGCGTGTCAGTTAGCCACTGTCATCTACAGGGCCAAGAGTCCTGGGATTTATATGGCTAAGTTACTGATTGATGTCAGGTAAGTGAGCAAGGTGACGTTATTCCTACGCTCCTTAAAGCCAAATGCTCCCGTATGTTAAGGTTTAGTCATGCCCTTCGACTGTTTTCCTTATTAGACTTGGCACCACTATGACCTATAATCCGCTAGACCTATAGCGGCTAGACAAGGGGCACTCAAATACTATTTGAGAAGGACCAGTCACACAAATTTCCTCGGTGCCAAAGGTCTGCATGGATATTGTCATTTATCGGCGTAGTAACCCCCCCCCACCCCACCCCCTCAGCAACCTGCACCACGTCTATTTCTATGGCCACAAGCACGGTCCATGACACAAACTGTTCACACCCCTCTTGTTGGCAGAGACAAAGTTGAGCATGTTTAAAGCTTATTTCCTGCAATTCTACACATTTTGCCATGTCTTATGTGTGTCAAACATTACAGCAAAATCAATGGGCTACAAAACCTAGCTTAATTATGACAGTTGATCAACTAACCCATGTCAGCTAACTTTTTTAATTAGCATTCTAAGGTCTGCAATGACTGACATAACAAGAGGAAAACTGCTGATGCACTACCAAATTTCAAAATTGCAACTTGTGCATTCTACTATTACAACTTTCAACAGTAAGTTGAAAGCCCGACTGAGTTTCTTAATTGCTCAGTGCAGTCAAAAAACATGATTTTCCTGTGTTGTATATATGAAGAGTTTATTTCCAAAATGCTATATCCACCAATTTTTCACGTTTGTGTTTTTTCAATAGAAATTATTTTATGGGTACCTTCGTGTGTGTGTGTGTGTGTGTGTGTGTGTGTATAAAATATGACTGTTCTCAGATCTTAATTCATAGATTTTAGATGTGTATTGGAATGGAATGGAATATTCGTATACTGTATATTTGACTGTGATTATGTGGTTGTTTCACCTAGCTATTTTAAGCTGAATGCACTAACTGTAAGTCGCTCTGGATAAGAGCATCTGCTAAATGACTAAAATGTCAAATATAAATGTTTTCCATACAGATCTCATGTTACTGTATTGATTAATTTTTGAATTAAAAAAAAATATATATATATTGATGTCACAAATGTATCATTAGTTGTTTATTAAAAATGTAGTTATTTGTTGCGTTTGACGGTGTAAAACCTAGCAGTACTACTTATTTATCTGAGAGTGAGGCAGATATATACAGTGCCTTCAGAAAGTATTCACACCTCTTGACTTTTTCCACATTTTGTTGGTGTTACAGCCAGAATTTAAAATTGATTAAATTGAGATTTTGCGTGACCGGCCTACACACAACACAAAAAGTATGTTTTTAGATTTTTTTTACAAATTAATAAAAATTAAAAGGTGAAATGTCTTGAGTCAATAAGTATTCAACCCCTTTGTTATGGCAAGCCTAAATAAGTTCTGGAGTAAAGCATTTGCTTAGCAAATCACTTAATAAGTCGCATGGACTCACTCTGTGTGCAATAATAGTGTTTAACATGAATTTTCTATGAATACATAATCTCTACCCCACACATACAATTATCTGTAAGGTCCCTCAGTCTAGCAGTGAATTTCAAACACCGGTTCAACCACAAAGACCAGGGAGGTTTTCCAATGCCTTACAAAAAAAAGCAGACATTGAATATCCCTTTGAACATGGTGAAGTTATTAATTACACTTTGGATGGTGTGTCAATACACCCAGTCACTACAAAGATACAGGCGTCCTTCCTAACTCAGTTGCCGGAGAGGAAGGAAACCACTCAGGGATTTCAGCATGATGCCAATGGTGACTTTAAAACAGTTACAGAGTTGAATGGCTGTAATAGGAGAAAACTGAGGATGGATCAACAACATTGTAGTTACTCCACAATACTAACCTAAATGACAGAGTGAAAAGAAGGAAGCCTGTACAGAATACAAATATTACAAAACATGCATCCTGTTTTCAATAAGGCACTAAAGTAAAACTGCAAAGGATTTGTGGCAAAGAAATTAACTTCATGTCCTGAATACAAGCGTTATGTTTGGTACTCAGTGATGTGTTGGATTTGCCCCAATCTTCATATTTTCAAGCATGGTGGTGGCTGCATCATGTTATGGGTATGCTTGTCATTGGCAAGGACTAGGGAGTTTTTTAGGATGAAAAGAAACGGAATAGACCTAAGCATAGCCAAAATCCTAGAGGAAAACCTAGTTCAGTCTTACCAACAGACACTGGGAGACAAATTCACCTTTCAACAGTACAATAACCTAAAACACAAGGCCAAATATATGCTGGCGTTGCTTACCAAGACGGCATTGAAAGTTCCTGAGTGGCCTAATTACAGTTGACTTAAATCGGCTTGAAAATCTATGGCAAGACTTGAAAATGGCTATATAGCCACGATTAAAAACCAATTTGACTGATTTTGAAGAATTTCTAAAAGAATAATGTGCAAACATTGTACAATCCAGGTTTGCAAAGCTCTTAGAGACTTACCCAGAAAGACTCACAGCTGTAATCGCTGCCAAAGGTGATTGATTCTAACATGTATTGACTCAGGGGGTTGAGTACTTATGTAATCAAGAGATATTAGTGTTTTATTTTTCATACATTTTGTACAAATGTTAGATTATTCTTTTGACATTACAGAGTATTTTGTGTAGATCGTTGACAAAATCCATTTTAATCCCACCTTGTAACACAACAAAATGTGGATGGCACTGTAGCGTTTTGCAAAACATTTTTTAAAATTATTTGTCTCTTTGAAATGAAACAATCAAGTTATATATTTCAAACAAATACATTTCAAACAAATACATGTCTGTTATTAAGCAATCCCATGCCATGATTAGAAAGTGAAAAAAACACACCAATCTCTTTCGTAAGTTCTTTAAACAATAAAAGCAAAAAATTTATATATAGCGTTTTGGATTGAAACTCTGTGTAATAACTCTGAATAATACTGTGAAATTGTGAAAATGATGTTAATGCCCTTTCAGTGTAAAAGCTGTTTGAAAAGGTCACCTGAAATTTCAGCCTGTTTTGGTGGGATGGAGTTTTTGCCTTCCATGGTGACATATCCATGCAGTAAATTAGTTAACAAACCAATAAGAAAGAGCGTTCCAAACCTCTCTGCAAATAACAGGTACTTTTTTGTTTCTCCCTCCCCACTCAGACCACTCCTAGAAAGTCCTAGCAAAATTTTTCTTGAGAAATTGCCCTTTGCGAAGACACAGTTGTAAGGTACTTAACTGTTACCCAGAAATGATTTGATATTGAGATAAAAATGGCTGCATTGGACCTTTTTTAAAGGAGCAGTGCAGTTAAAAACTTGATAAAAAAGATATTTCCACACTGAGGTCGAAACAACACTGAAATTGAGGTAGTATGGAACTTTTGTCCCACATCATGACATCCCAATGTGATCTGATTATAATAGACCAATTACCTTTTCATCTGCGTAAGGGGGTGGGCTCTAGGCCATCCTTTCAGCCAATCATGGCTGTGTAAATATCTTCACATTTGTTTCATTACGCCCACACGATCAGACTGAGCTTTTCAAGGACCAAAGGAGGCTCGGAAATAAATTATAAAAAATATATTTTTGAGTTATTTTCATTAAATTAAGACACACAGTGATAATTCTTTTACATACAGTGGGGAAAAAAAGTATTTAGTCAGCCACCAATTGTGCAAGTTCTCCCACTTAAAAAGATGAGAGAGGCCTGTAATTTTCATCATAGGTACACGTCAAATATGACAGACAAATTGAGAATTTTTTTTCTCCAGAAAATCACATTTTAGGATTGTTAATGAATTTATTTGCAAATTATCTTTTTAAGTGGGAGAACTTGCACAATTGGTGGCTGACTAAATACTTTTTTCCCCCACTGTACAGTGATGATTTAAAAATAAAATTACAAAGACTGCCAGGAGGCTTAAAAAATCAAATGTTTTTTGTGTTTTTTTGGTCGGGACCCGCGGTCCACATTGACCCCGTTCTGGGTCCGGATGCAAACTGCAGTGGTCTGCCTATTGAGTATGGCTGGACTAGACCATTGTGTTTAATGTGGTAGTCACCTACCCTGTTGCTGGAGTGCTACAGTACCAGGGGTACAGGCTTTTGTTCCAACCCATTATTAAAACATTGATTACAGTATATAAATCACCTACAGTACATTTATATAATCAGCCATCAAGAAGGACTATCCTTAGCCAACCAATCAAACAATTATATCCAAGATATTCTTGCCCAGTTACTTGACTGCAATCTGTCCATTCTAACTAGGTTGAAGTGAAAATTCTGAAACACGGTTGATAAGACCAGTTCTCAAGAATAGTTGTTGGTACGAAAAGGGCTTGTATGTGTTTCTTGGAGCTTATGTCTTCAGTTTCTCATAACTAGTCACATTTCTCTTTATATGATGTTGACCATGAGCTGGTGGAGTATTGTGTCGGCATGCTCATTATGATTCAATTTAGAGTGCGAGACAGAGTAGTGTTTATTTTTTCTGTATGTTTGAGAACAAAAAGAACCAGAACTTTGGTCAACAATACACACAGTTACTCATACTGTAAATAGCCCATCTTTTGTCTGCTAGTTCTTGTATAATTTCCATAAATGTAACCAGTAATGAATTCAAAGTTATATTTCTCTCCAATATTACAATGCCTATGGTTCTGGAGATGGCTGATGGCTGTTATGATGATGGCACACGAGGCAATAACAGTAACATATCAACCCTTTCTATAGCACTACAGCATGTGGTCCTCTGTAGCTCAGCTGGTAGAGCACGGCGCTTGTAACGCCAAGGTAGTGGGTTCGATCCCCGGGACCACCTATACACAAAAAAAAATGAATGCACGCATGACTGTAAGTCGCTTTGGATAAAAGCGTCTGCTAAATGGCATATTATTATATTATATGTTTCCATTTCTCTTAGCAGAGTGGTATCCTAAAACATTGAACAAAACCAGTTCTTGGGAGCTGCATGGTCAACATAGTCTCATTATAATATGTACAGTGCATTTGGAAAGTATTCAGACCCCTTGACGTTTTCCACATTTTGATAAGTTACAGCCTTATTCTAAAATGGATTACATTGTTTCCCCCCCCCATCAATCTACACACAATACCCCATAATGACAAAGCAAAAACAGGTTTTTATAAATGTTTGCAAAGGTATTCAAAATAGTATTCAGACCCTTTTACTCAGTACTTTGTTAAAGCACCTTTGGCAGCGATTACAGCCTTGAGTCTTCTTGGGTATGACTCTACAAGCTTGGCACACCTGTATTTGGGGAGTTTCTCCCATTCTTCTCTGCAGATCCTCTCAAGCTCTGTCAGGTTGGATGGGGAGCGTCGCTGCACAGCTATTTTCAGGTCTCTCCCAGAGATGTTAGATCGGGTTCAAGTCCGGGCTCTGGCTGGGCCACTCAAGGACATTCAGAGACTTGTCCCGAAGCCACTCCTGTATTGTCTTGGCTGTGTGCTTAGGGTCGTTGTCATGTTGGAAGGTGAACCTTCGCCCCAGTCTGAGGTCCTGAGCGCTCTGGAGCAGGTTTTCATCAAGGATCTCTCTGTACTTTACTCTGTTCATCTTTCCCTCGATCCTGACTAGTCTCCCAGTCCCTGCCGCTGAAAAACATCCCCACAGCATGATGCTACCACCACCATGCTTCACCGGAGGGATGGTGCCAGGTTTCCTCCAGACGTGACGCTTGGCATTCAGGCCAAAGAGTTCAATCTTGGTTTAATCAGACCAGAGAATCTTGTTTCTCATGGTCTGAGAGTCCTTTAGGTGCCTTTTGGCAAACTCCAAGCGGGCTGTCATGTGCGTTTTACTGAGGAGTGGCTTCCGTCTGGCCGAGTGCTGTAGAGATGGTTGTCCTTCTGAGGGTTCTCCCATCTCCACAGAGGAACTCTGGAGCTTTGTCAGAGTGACCATTGGGTTCTTGGTCACCTCCCTCACCAAGGCCCTTCTCCCCTGATTGCTCAGTTTGACCTGGCGGCCAGCTCTAGGAAGAGTATTGGTGGTTCCAAACTTATTTCATTTAAGAATGATGGAGGCCACTGTGTTCTTGGGGACTTTCAATGCTGCAGAACGTTTTTGGTACCCTCCCCAGATCTGTGCCTCGACAAAATCCTGTCTCGGAGCTCTACGGACAATTCCTTCGACCTCTTGGCTTGGTTTTTGCTCTGACATGCACTGTCAACTGTGGGACCTTATATTGACAGATGTGTGCCTTTCCAAATCCTGTCCAATCAATTTAATTTTCCCCAGGTGGACTCCAATCAAGTTGTAGAAGTATCTCAAGGATGATCAATGGAAACAGGATGCACCTGAGCTCAATTTCGAGTCTCATAGCAAAGGGTCTGAATACTTATGTAAATTAGTTATTTCTGTTTTGTTATTATTAATACATTTGCAAACATTTCTAAGAACTTGTTTTTACTTTGTCGTTATGGGGTATTGTGTGTAGATTATATTTAATCCATTTTAGAATAAGGCTGTAACGTAACAATGTGGGAAAAGGGAAGGGGTCTGAATACTTTCTGAATGCACTGTATACTGTAAATGCTGTTGCAAACCTCAATCTTCCCAGTACTCTGCCTTAGTGTGAGAAGACCTCATTTAGACCTACAGTATTTGTTGAGAGAAATGGCTGATCAGTATCAGATAAGCTGGTAGTCAACAGTACACTGACAACATATGAGATCACTGCAGTGTTTTGGAAATAATGTGTTGTCTCAGGTACGACTTAAGATGCATTGTGTAATTGTAATTTATTACAGCACATATCTCATTTTATTTAACTTTCTCCCCTCATGTTTCCAGTGCCTATGTCCAACAGGGCCTCTAAGATGGAGGATGATGAGGAAGAGGAAGGTATGAAGTTTGACTTTGACAACAGTGACGAAGAGCGCGGTACGACACCAGCAAACTCTGTCTCTGCCATGGCCAAGGGCTTTGAAGCCACTGTGATGGCGGGGCTTGCATTAAAAAGGAACACAATGGGCCCTAGTTCTGCCCAAGACCCAGCAGTAAAGCCAAGGCTCAACGGAGGGCCGTCTGCTGGAAAGGAGGACCAGAGCATGCACTCACTCCCTCATTCCAATAGCTCAGGTGAGTCTGTCTCAGCATAGTCATGGTCCCATTGGATCTCATTCATAATTGCTAGGGTGAGCTCTGCCATGCTATCGTAGATAAGCTGGTAGAATGAGACTACTATGACCTGCATTGTTTTTACCTAGGTAATAAGTTAGTCTAAACGGGTGTGTTTTGTTTTCCACAGAGATGGTGGGAAGAAGGTCTCCTGAGGGGTAGGATATTTACCTTTTAATTTTATAATGACTTATGATTAAACTGTATAGACGAAACCCATTCATATATGAGAGAGCAGAAGTTTAACAGTAGCAGATGTTCTCATAAGTTACTAGACATCATTAACTCTGAGGAGAATCTAGTCACTGTTACTGCTCAATGTCACTAACACTACTGAACAACTTAGCTATACAATGTTATACAGTACACCAAAATGTCCACTGTAATGTTATACTATATACCACAATGTCCACTGTAATGTTATGGTATATACGACAATGTCCACTGTATTGTCTGCTGTGACATCAATTACTGCTCAAATTACATCTCTCCTTAATTAACCATCCATGTCAGCAGTGTCACTCCCAAATGTTTTGATGCCCATATTTGTTGTCCATTTTTCAGTCGCTCTGAGCTGGGAGTGTCAGGACATACAGAGGGCTCTGGGAGAAGAAATAGCATTTATGAAGGTAAGGGACAGTCTTGACCGCTTTCAGTTCAAATTGTAGGTCCAAGGTCCACTGTACATGTACTGTAAAATATGATTACACTCAGAAGTAACATCTGACTTTTCCTTGTTGTTTTATGGTCTATTGAGACAAAACTTTCCCTGGCAATTTGGCATTGTGTGATACAATGCCATAAGCCAGTACACATTGTAATGTTCTAGCCTTATCTCTGTCAATGCCATCTCCAGCAGGATCTATGAATGAGTGCTACTACACCCCTGTCTTAAAAAAGGCTGACCGCATAAACACTCAGACAGGTCTGTGACCATCTTACAGCAGGGCTGTGGTGTCACACATTGTGCACTCCCCTACTTTTACAATCATACTGAGTCACAAGCAGCACATACACAATCACAGCATGTGACATCAGCACTGCATGGGACACTAGCCCAGAATCACACTGAACCAATCAAACCAGGACTAATCAGATCCTTATCGATCCAATGGAAATGGATGCCTTATCAATCAAATACAGTCAAATCAAGGCTGTATCAATCAAGTACAGAGTAATCATTGCTCTAAAACAGAGACATCTATTTGAGTATAATAGTACATGATAGGCTACAGATCCCACTAAGTGCATAGGCAGAGTCTCTCTCTCAGCTTTGTGTGTGTGTGTGTTTATGAGAGATCTCAGTTGCATGTGTGATCTCAGCTGTGCGTGTGTGTATGTGTGTGTGTGTGTATGAGATGTCCAGGTTCCACGTGTGTGTGATCTCAGTGGTGTGTGTGTCCTCACAGCAGTGTGTGCATTATTTGTTCAGTTCAGGCACCGTACGGAGCCACCTCAGCCAAGGAGTGGTTCAGTGTGGTCTCAGAGCTCACTCTGCGACTGCATAAAGGTATATTAAACACCAGACTAGTCTAGTCTAGCCACCCTGTACGTGACCCACAGTCTAAGCTCCTCTAGTATAAGCCACCTGTCACTATTAGGGCTGCAAAATTCCGGGAACTTTCAATAAATTCCCTGAATTCTCCAACCAGGATTCTGGAAAACCAGGGAATTTATTGAAAGTTCCTGGAATTTTGCAACCCTAGTCACTATCACCTCAACCTCAACCCTACCCAGCGTAGCAAAATCCTACCCAATGCAGGCCTAGCAAAATTCATTTAGAAAATAATTCAGCATTTTTATTTAAAATATTAGGAAATTGGGAATTCGTCTTTCTTGGTCATGCTTTTAATTTCCTAGAAATACCTAGTTATACAGGGAAGTGTGGGTAAAAGTTCATAGAAAATAGACATTGCATTGTGCAAACCTCATTATTGTATATTAGACATATTACACCCCTTGGCAAACTGAATACTCCCTGATTATAAATACAAAACACGCAAGTACTGTAGAGCTAGAGATAGAACTGGATTTCTTACAGGGGCCAGAGATCTGTCACTTTACCATTCAGCCACTTTCACCTCTGTAATAGGAGTGTATTTATTGACCATGCTATATTGACCAGGACATGAATCCTATTCTTCAGCGATAGGGGATACATTTCCACACGGAAACAGGCTTTCTCTCAACGCTGAGAGGGCCATAGCTAATTTGCCCCACACTAATCAGACTCGTAGGGATGGTTGAGATGTTCACCGACTCCCGTCTCTAATGCTCTTGTTGCCGGGCAGAAATGCCTGTGCAATGCCGCTGCCTTAGGTCACCCTGCAGATTCCTGCCGGCATAAACACTTTCCCTCAGACACCTCGCTTTGGTATGTGACGTCCTCAATGATGATGATGTACCGTGATTGCATACTCTGCAGAAAGCAGCCCACAATACCCATTGCAGAGGAAAATCCAGTGGGATTGTACACCAGATTGACTTGCCTCTGCTCTTTCTCTTCTCGTGACCTTGCTTTGGTAATCTTGTAGTAACCTTGAACGTAGTCTATTGGCCTGCAACCCACAATTTTAGTCTGGTTACTTAGCTATTCACTCTGTTTATGACGAAAAAACCTGGGAGTGGTAGTAATGCCCAATGTAGCCTTTTAACCAATTATCTAAGGTTGGAATGGTGCACTTCTTTCTTCCAGGGAAACCTCCCCCTATGCTTGATGTAGGAGGTCCAGGTGATGCAGCAAGTCCTGAAAATAAAAATGTGTCTAGTCCGGAGGGCCTGCAAAGTCCGGATGGTATGGCCTGCACAGACAGTCCACCCAGCCCCACCAGCCCCGATAACGTCATAACCGATCCGACCCACCGCCATGACATCATGACCAGCCCTGATGACATCATCATGACCAGTCCAGAGGCCATCTTTAGGACCAGTCATCCAGAGGTCATCTATGATGACGTGCCCTGTGAGAGCCTCCTCTCTCCTCTGGACGGTGGGGACTCTGATACAGTGGTGTTTGTGTGTGCATGCATGCATGCATGTTTGTGTGTGTGATTTAATGTCTCCCCTGTTGTTTCAGATGACGTCTACGAGGACGTCCAGAGGCCAGAAAGCCATCATGGCACCAACAACGGCTGGAGTGACAGTGAGTTTGAGAGCTATGATGAGCAGTCAGACAGCGAGACCAAAATACCCACCGTTGCCCGAAGCAGTAGTAAAGTAAGCCTCTTGTCTTGTAAACTCCACTCTGCTGCTTTTGCAATGCCTATATTATGTGTTGTATTTGTTGCTCAGACCTTGATGCTATACAATACTTGCTACAATTATTTAATGACACCCAAGGATGTCTGTTGAATCAATGTAGGCATTGTGTCTGATGCTATGTATTTTCCACAAGATGGCAGTACTGTGTAGGCTCACATACAGTGAGCTCCAAAAGTGTTGGGAAGGTGGGAAGGTTGGGAAGGTGACACATTTCTGTTGTTGTTTTGGCTCTGTACTCCAGCACTTTGGATTTGAAATGGTACAATGACTATGAGGTTAAAGTGCAGACTGTCAGCTTTAATTTGAGGGTATTTCCATCCATACAAGGTGAATCGTTTAGAAATTACAGCACTTTCTGTTCGTAGTCTCCCCATTTTAGGGGACCAAAAATATTGGGACAAATTCTCTTATGTGTATTAAAGTAATCAAAAGTTTAGTATTTGGTCCCATATTCCTAGCATGCAATGATTACATCAAGCTTGTGACTCTACAAACTGTTTCAGATTATTTTGTGCCCAATAGACATTCATGGTAAATGTATTATGTCATTTTGGAGTAACTTATATTGTAAATAAGAATAGAATATACACAAATATCATACCCCCAAGACATGCTAACCTCTCACCATTACAATAACAGGGGAGGTTAGCATTTCTTGGGGGGTATGATATTTGTGCATCTGTAACTTTCTCACTCATCATTATTCACGATTCATTCAGGACAATCCGTAATCATGGTAGCATCCACATTAATGTAGAAGTGTTTAGAAACATATGCTATTCTTATTTACACAATACATTATTTACCATTCATTTCTATTGGGCACAAAATAATCTGAAACACAACCAAAACAACAGCAAATGCATCCAACAAGTTTGTAGAGTCACAAGCTTGATGTAATCATTGCGTGCTAGGAATATGGGACCAAATACTAAACTGTTGACTACTTTAATACACATATAAGTGAATTTGTCCCAATACTTTTGGTCCCATAAAATGGGGGGACTAGGTACAAATAGTTATGTCATTTTTAAACGGTTCACCCGATATTGATGAAAATACCCTAAAATTAAAGCTGACAGTCTGCACTTTAACATCATAGTCATTGTATCATTTCAAATCCAAAGTGCTGGAGTGCAGAGCCAAAACAACAACAAATGTGTCACTGTCCCAATAATTTTGGAGCTCACTGGATATGAATAGCACATTATGAAGTCAAATGCACATCACTTTTCAATCCCAGAACGTAACCAATAAAAGTATTGGTTGTCGTAGAATTTGAGTGTGCATGCCCTACTTTACACTTGACTATACAAAGGTACACTATATATACAAAGGAATGTGGACACCCCTTCAAATTAGTGGATTCGGCTATTTCAGCCACACCCGTTGCTGACAGGTATATACAATCGAGCACACAGCCATGCAATCTCCATAGACAAACATTGGCAGTAGAATGGCCTTACTGAAGAGCTCAGTGACTTTCAACGTGGCTCCGTCATAGGATGCCACCTTTCAACAAGTCAGTTTGTCAAATTTCTGCCCTGCTAGAGCTGCCCTGGTCAACTGTAAGTGCTGTTATTGTGAAGTGGAAACGTCTAGGAGCAACAACGGCTCAGCCGCGAAGTGGTAGGCCACACAAGCTCACAGAATGGGACCGCTGAGTGCTGAAGCACGTAGCGCGTAAAAATCGTCTGTCCTCGGTTGCAACATTCACTACCGAGTCCCAAACTGCCTCTGGAAGCAACGTCAGCACAATAACTGTTCGTCGGGGGCTTCATGAAATGGGTTTCCATGGTCGATCAGCCGCACACAAGCCTAAGATCACCATGCGCAATGTCAAGCGTCAGTGGTGTAAAGCTCGCTGCCATTGGATTCTGGAGCAGTGGAAACGTGTTCTCTGGAGTGATGAATCACGCTTCACCATCTGGCAGTCCGACGGACTAATCTGGGTTTGGCGGATGCCAGGAGAACGCTACCTGCCCGAATGAATAGTGCCAACTGTCTGGGGCTGTTTTTCATGGTTCGGGCTAGGCCCCTTAGTTCCAGTGAAGGGAAATCTTAATGCTACAGCATACAGTACAATGACATTCTAGACGATTCTGTGCTTCCAACTTTGTGGCAAAAGTTTGTGGAAGGCCCTTTCCTGTTTCAGCATGACAATGCCCCCGTGCACAAAGTGAGGTCCATACAGAAATGGCTTGTCGAGATCAGTGTGGAAGAACTTGACTGGCTTTCACAGAGCCATGACCTCAACCCCATCTAACACCTTTGGGATGAATTGGAACGCCGACTGTGAGCCAGGCCTAATCGCCCAACATCAGTGCCTGACCTCACTAATGCTCTTGTGGCTGAATGGAAGCAAGTCCCCATAGCAATGTTCCAACACCTGCATTTTACATTTTAGTCATTTAGCAGACGCTCTTATCCAGAGCGACTTACAGTTAGTGAGTGCATACATCATTTATTTTTTATTTTTTATACTGGCCCCCCATGGGAATCGAACCCACAACCCTGGCGTTGCAGACACCATGCTATATCAACTGAGCTACATCCCTGCAGGCCATTCCCTCCCCTACCCTGGACGACGCTGGGCCAATTGTGCGCCGCTCCATGGGTCTCCTGGTCGCGGCCGGCTACGACAGAGCCTGGATTCGAACCAGGATCTCAAGTGGCACAGCTAGCACTGCGATGCAGTGCCTTAGACCACTGCGCCACTCGGGAAAGCCTTCTCAGAAGAGTGGAGGCTGTCATAGCAGCAAAGGGGGGAACAACTTCATATTAATGCCCATGATTTTGGAATGAGATGTTCGATAATGTAGTGTATCCCTCTATTACGCGTGGGAATACTTTGGAATTAAAATCACTTGGAGCTGATTTGCTTGTGTTTTTACAGTCTTATGTTCAACAATGTATTATTTTTTAAACTTGAGGGGCCAAATAAAATCACCCGATGGCTGCCAGTTGGGGAACCCTAGAGTATACCTATATACCTATAGACAACAATACATGTGGAGGAACATGGTGGAGTTTAGTTTGTTGGGTGGGGGGGTGTTGTCTAGTGCCCTCTCATGGTGTGACTCCAGCATACTTTTGTGTATGAGGGTTTATATACTGAGGAGGAACTGTACACAGCTGGTTTAAATGCACTGCTTTGTCCGCTGGGTGTGTGAGGAAGTGATACACGTGTTTAGTAGTTAGTGGCTTTGTCAGCAGTCTCTCTTGGTTCCTCTTCTTCCTCTCTGGCTCTTCCCTGTCCATCCACTCACTGCTGCTCCTCCCACTGCTGCTGCTAAAGTTTATTTCTTCCCTGAGTCTGTGTTGATTAAGATCTGTTTTTGCGAAGAGGCAGGAGTATGGTTCTTATAATATGAGGTGTTGTTGATATGCTTGTATGTTTTTTTCAATATATAAAAAAAATAAGGTTTAATTGTATATTTGAAATTATATTTTGTGTTTGTGTGGGTTAGGAGCAAGTGGAAATGGTCTCTTTTTTTAAGGAAGGGCAACAAAAGTGTCTTGTCTTTGCTTGCTGAATAATAATAATAATATAATATAATATGCCATTTAGCAGACGCTTTTATCCAAAGCGACTTACAGTCATGCGTGCATACATTTTTTTTTTGTGTATGGGTGGTCCCGGGGATCGAACCCACTACCTTGGCGTTACAAGCGCCGTGCTCTACCAGCTGAGCTATTCAAAAGACAATTCAACAAGTAGAACCAATGTCTTTTTATAATGGCTATCTAAGGAGAATGACAAGAAGGTGTATATTTGAGATTCTCTGTACTTTCTGAAACCAATTATTCTTCTACCTCCAATTGACATCATTTTGTCAACCCTTTTCACATCTTGTGATTTCACTGGTTGCCTCTCTTGCTTTCGCCCTGACTATCCTTCTCTTTCCTCTCTCTTTCCCTCAACTCTTCCGTCCGCTCACCTGATCTGGTGTCCTGTCCTGTCCTTCCAACTTGCTTGTGGGGTCGGGGGTCATTGGCATGGCGATGAACTTAGCTTTCTCAGGACATGTGGCGACTGAAGGAGCGCTGTGCCAAGACCAAGCAGGATCTGGCCATGCGCAGCTGTGACTTCAAGGTACTGCATCATCGTTGTAGAGTACAGTAAAAGTACTGTTAGACAGCGACTGTGTCCCATTTCTCTTAAATGACTCCTTTACCTTATCTTACCTGCCTTGACCGCTGGTAAGTGAAATGACTAGTCTATATACTAGTCTATAATTGTAATCTGGATAGTTTGGGTATCAAGTGGTCAGAAGGGATAGGAGGCAACACAAAACGTTTTGGACACAGCCTCAGAGTTGCCTAGTTCTGGCTAAAGGCTGGTTGATGTGGTCCCTTTAAAGGGGAAGCATAACTCTGAGGTTTCTCCTCTCTTTCCTAACATATTTACAGAGCATTACTTTCTCTCTCTCTCTCTCTCTCTCTCTCTCTCTCTCTCTCTCTCTCTCTCTCTCCTTCACTTCTCCTTCACTTCTCTTTCAGGTCCAGCTGCTGATGAAAGCAGCGAGAAATGGCACCAAGGACGGACTGGAAAAGACAAAGTTAGCTATGATGCGTAAAGTCTCTTTCCTGCAGAAAAAAGAAACCACGGGTAAGCATTATTTATTATTATTATTTACAGCTTCTTCTTTTTGATTGATGTCAGTTGTCATAGCTCATATATTGTGTCATGTTTTTAGCATCATTGTTGTTGTCAATATCACTAGTCAATGCTGCTACGTTAAACAAATGTAGAAGTGAAATGTCCCAGTTATCAAATACGTTTATCAGAGATTTAACAGCTCATTGATTCGGTTCTTGAGATGGCTGTGGTAGGCACTGCGCTGTGAATTCCATCATGAAGGTGTCAGACAACTACAGACAAGGAGACAAGGCGTGGGCTGGGTCATATTCATTGGGCACCAAATGGAAGAAAACGGACTGAAACATACAGGGACAACCTTGACTTGTTCAATAAGAAACACAGTTTTGTTTTCTATTGCAAAACATTTGCATTCCCTAATGAATAGGACCCTGGGCTGGGGTGGGGTTACTCTATATCCTCAGGCCATATGAGAACATGAGGAGAGCAGTATTGGTAGACAGGCAAATGAGTTTAAAGGTATGTGTATGTCACTGTCACCATACAGAGGAGAGTGACGATGATGCTGGTTATTTGGATGTGACGGTGTCTGAAATGAAGCACCCGCCACCCCAGCTGAGCCCTATGCCAGAGGGGCTTACCACCCAACAGATTATTAGACGCCACATCATTGGTTCCATCGTACAAAGTGAGAGGAGTTATGTGGACTCTCTCAAGAGAATCTTAGTGGTGAGTGACCTCCACTGTTATTTTTTCAACACTTAATGTGAACCATACCCAGACAGTCTGAAGTCATTTTGATTCACTGACATTAACTTCAGAGGTCTTCCTCCGGGTGGCTGGTTGCAGCCCCTACCCCCCTTAGCACTTGTGTAGATCTGAACTGACTGGATAGGTGTAAACACTGTGATGATGAGTCCACCTTATCCAGCTAACCAGATACCAGTGAGCATCACTCTGATTGGTTCTCCTCCTCGCTGCTCTCAGGAGTACCAGAAGCCCTTGCTTGAGCCAGAGGGCAGGATCCTGAGCGATAAGAAGGTCCGGCCCATATTCTACCGGTTGCGGGAGATCCTGCAGTGCCACTCAATGTTCCAGATCGCCCTGGCATCCCGCGTGGCCGAGTGGGACCTCAGCGAGAAGATCGGAGACCTCTTTGTGGCCTCGGTCAGTATGGAGGATGGATCTCATTAGGGCACGCAACGGAAATGAACACGGCCCTGTTGGAATACTTTGAAAATGTATCCTTTCCTTTCATGTATCCTTCCACTAATATTACATGACTGGATGTTGTATCCATTTTTCTCTCCACAGTTTTCCAAGTCAATGGTACTAGATGTGTACAGCGATTATGTCAACAACTTCACCAACGCTATGGCGCTCATCAAGAAAGCCTGCATTTCCAAGCCAGCTTTCCTGGAGTTTCTCAAGGTGGCTTACTCTCTCCTCTTTGATCATTCAGTTTACAATGAATTAGACTTCTTTCCTCTCCCAAGGCTGTAGAATTGTTTGCTGATACAGTATATCTATCCGTATGCAATAAGTTCAAAGTTCGTCATCTATTTGCATTCAATGTTATCTAGTAGCATTTGGTGAAACGGTCAGTCAGATTCTTCTCCAGACGGTTAATTCTGAATTTGAATGTGAGAATGTGTTTGACACCTCAAGGCTACCATATACTGTAGCATCCTCTGTAGACTGTGATACGACGTAATTAACTCCCTGTTGACTTGGCCTCTATGCTTGTGCCCCCACAGAAGAAGCAAGTGTCCAGTCCTGACAGAATCACTCTTTATGGCCTTATGGTTAAACCAATCCAGCGCTTCCCTCAGTTCATCCTGCTGCTACAGGTTAGTACCAAGACACAGCAAAAACAAGCATCTTATATTTTTGAAGATACATTTATAATACTTGTTGTTCATGATTTATATAAATCTATGCTATAGGCTATACACTAACGTGTACTCATCGTTACTTATATTTTAGTTTATGTGGTGATTAGGTTTAAGTATTCTGTACTAAGCTCCATGGAACAAAGCATGTGAGAGAAGAGGAACAAGGAAAACCCAAACTATTTTAAAGCTTCTCATAAACATTTATATTTAGAAAAAGGCCTTATTATAGTGTGCTCTGCCAAGCGAATCAGGTAGAAACCCAGACAGCTCTCTTAGGGGAATCCTATGACTTCATTATTACTGAGGAAGTCAGAAGGAGAGTGTTTGTAGTGAAATGTGGCTCCCTAACTGAAGACTGTTTTCTCTCTCACACTCTCTCTCTGTCTCTCTGTCTGTCTGTCTCTCTGTCTGTCTGTCTGTCTGTCTGTCTGTCTGTCTGTCTGTCTGTCTGTCTGTCTGTCTGTCTGTCTGTCTGTCTGTCTGTCTGTCTGTCTGTCTGTCTGTCTGTCTGTCTGTCTGTCTGTCTGTCTGTCTGTCTGTCTGTCTGTCTGTCTGTCTGTCTGTCTGTCTGTCTGTCTGTCTGTCTGTCTGTCTGTCTGTCTGTGTGTCTGTGTGTCTGTGTGTCTGTGTGTCTGTCTGTGTGTGTGTGTGTGTGTGTGTCTCTCTCTCTCTGTCTGTCTGTCTCTCTCTCTCACACTCTCTCACACACACACTCTCTCTCCTTCTCCCCCCCACTCTTGCTCTCTCCCTCCTTCAGGACATGCTGAAGAACACTCCCCGGGCCCACCCTGACCGCCTGCCCCTGCAGTTGGCCCTCACCGAGCTGGAGACGTTGGCCGAGAGGCTGAACGAGCAGAAACGAGTCGCTGACCAGGTCGCTGAAATCCAGCAGCTGGCACGCAGCATTGGTGACCGTCAACTGAGCAAGGTGACACATATACAGTGCCTTGCAAAAGTATTCATCCCACTTGGCGTTTTTCCTATTTTGTTGCATTGCAACCTGTAATTTAAATGGATTTTAATTTGGATTTCATGTAATGGACATACACAAAATAGTCCAAATTGGTGAAGTGAAATGAAAAAAATTACTTGTTTCAAAAAATTCTACAAAATAAGTAACGGAAAAGTGGTGCATGCATATGTATTCACCCCCTTTGCTAAGAAGTCCCTAAATAAGATCTGGTGCAATCAATTACCTTCAGAAGTCACATAATTTGTTAAATAAAGTCCATCTGTGTGCAATCTAAGTGTCACATGATCTGTCACATGATCTCAGTGTATATATACACCTGTTCTGAAAAGCCCAGAGTCTGCAACACCACTAAGCAAGGGGCACCACCAAGCAAGCGGCACCATGAAGCCCAAGGAGCTCTCCAAACAGGTCAGGGACAAAGTTGTGGAGAAGTATAGATCAGGGTTGGGTTATAAAAAAATATCAGAAACTTTGAACATCCCACGGAGCACCATTAAATCCATTATAAAAAAATTGAAAGAATATGGCACCACAACAAACCTGCCAAGAGAGGGCCGCCCACCAAAACTCACGGACCAGGCAAGGAGGGCATTAATCAGAGAGGCAACAAAGAGACCAAAGATAACCCTGAAGGAGCTGCAAAGCTCCACAGCAGAGATTGGAGTATCTGTCCATAGGACCACAAAAAAAAAAAGCCATTGCTTAAAGAAAAAAAATAAGCAAACACGTTTGGTGTTCGCCAAAAGGCATGTGGGAGACTCCCCAAACATATGGAAGAAGGTACTCTGGTCAGATGAGACTAAAATTGAGCTTTTTGGCCATCAAGGAAAACGCTATGTCTGGTGCAAACCCAACACCTCTCATCACCCTGAGAACACCGACAGGGACTGGGAAACTGGTCAGAATTGAAGGAATGATGGATGGCGCTAAATACAGGGAAATTCTTGAGGATAACCTGTTTCAGTCTTCCAGAGATTTCAGACTGGGACGGAGGTTCACCTTCCAGCAGGACAATGACCATAAGCATACTGCTAAAGCAACACTTGAGTGGTTTAAGGTGAAACATTTAAATGTCTTGGAAAGGCCTAGTCAAAGCCCAGACCTCAATCCAATTGAGAATCTGTGGTATGACTTAAAGATTGCTGTACACCAGTGGAACCCATCCAACTTGAAGGAGCTGGAGCAGTTTTGCCTTGAAGAATGGGAAAAAATCCCAGTGGCTAGATGTGCCAAGCTTAAAGAGGGGGGAGGGGGGTGAATATGTATGCACTTGTCTTTTTTTTGGGTCTTATTTCTTGTTTGTTTCACAAGAAAAAAGAATTTGCATCTTTAAAGTGGTAGGCATGTTGTGTAAATCAAATGATACAAACCCCCAAAAAATCAATTTTAATTCAAGGTTGTAAGGCAGCAAAGTAGGAAAAATTCCAAGGAGGGTGAATACTTTCGCAAGCCACTGTACATATGCTAAAGACGCCACCAATGATTTCCGATGTCTGTCTGTCTGTCTTTCTCGAAACTACATGTATTTTTTAAAGGTAAATAAGAAAAACAAATGTTTTAGTCAATTCCATTGTGTGTAAGTGTTAGTGAGGAAGTGTGTTGTGTGTGTGTGATGTGGATAGTGTGTGATATTTGTGTCCCCTCTATAGCTCTTGAACTCAGACCAGAGGCAGCTGATACTGTGTGAGGTGCTGATTGAGACGGTGTACGGGGAGAAAGGACAGGTCCTTAAGTCCAAGGAGCGCAAAATCTTCCTGCTGAACGACACCCTCATCTGTGCAAACATCAACGTCAAGTGAGTCAGCACTACGGATGAGACATACTTTCTAATGCAGAGGAGACTGGTGGGAGGAGCTAAAGGAGGAAGGGCTGAAATTGAATTAATGGAACGGTATCAAACACATCAAACATATGGAAACCACATGTTTGACTCCGTTCTATTTATTCCATTCCAGCCATTACAATGAGCCTGTCCTCCTATAGATCCTCCTACCAGCCTCCACTGATCTAATGTTGTGTTGTCGAATGACAACCACACTGTGTATTAATGTCGACCAACTCTCTTTTTCTCCATCTTGTCCAACACGACTATTGTAGATATGAGAATTACGGCATTGATAATGTCGTAAATGAACAAAGGTAAAGTTTTCCCCAAAATGTATTACAACTTTGCGCTTCAAAACCTGTTTTGATCAGAGAGCCTGATAAATTATTTGTTGCACTCTACTTGATTCGGTTCATGCCTCATGCCAACTTTGCCCTCAACTTACACATTTCCAGAGGAACGGATCACAATTCTTCTCATGCACAATTATGGGGATTGATGATTAGCAATGTGCCCTGAAAATCAGTAGGGGGTCCTGGTGTTTGGAGAAGGATTCAACTGATCAGATGGACTGTAATTGCATGATGTATTCCTTGACCTCCTTTCATGTTGTTGATTCAAAGAGCACTGACACATTTACAGGATTTCTCAATTGCTGTTAGGATTGTGTTATCTCTTACATTCAAAGTTTGTTCACGAAAATGATGCACGCATCGATGAGGCAGAAGCCCGTGTGACAGTGTGAAGATTCTGAACGGTCAGATAGCTAGCAACAATGACATGAATCACAGGTGGCTCGTTTCAGCTCGATGTATCTTGTTATTGATACCATGTTATGTTTTGAGGTGTTTTGACTCATGTCATGTCTATGCTAATATGGCAAAACATTTGATAGCTAACTAACCAACAACTGTAACGATGTATTTGTGAGACAACCAGTGCTCAAGAGTTGTATTTATGTTTTCCAAAAAACATTTGGAGACTAAACATAGTTTACATGTTGTCAACAATCTAAGCCAACCCTTTCCGTTTTGCCCCATAGTTGCACACGCATTAGTTTTGTTGCTAAACAACCAACCGGTCTATAGTTCAGGCCCATAGAGATGGAAAAAGAGAGGACAATATCTTTGCAATGATGGCTTCTTTGACAGCATGGGAGGCACTATTGAGAACAAGCTTTGGGAACATCTCTATGATCAGGCCAGTGAAATGTGTCCCTATTTCTTCCACTAGGGGTCCCCCTGAAATCAGCAGCCTAGTTCCCATTGGTCCTAAATACACGGTGAAGTGGAGTGCCCCCTTGCTGCAGATGCAGGTAGTGGAGGTGGGACAGGAGAGCTTCCAGAGCAAAGATACAGGGAAACGGCTAAACGTTGCAAATGTTCCAGGTAAGAACACACATTCAATTCAGTTCAATAACAATGTTTTATGCATTGTACACGTTCACATTCAAGACAAAATACTATTGTAAGCTATGAAAAAGCAACTCATGCCAGCCTGTCAGCAATCTGGGTATGAGTTCAAAGTGTGTCTCTACGGGCACCTGCTTGGGGAGAACTGACTAGTTTTGAAATCTCTAAAGGCTTCAGTGCCCTAATTGAGTGATAAAAGAGGCTGCATGTAACCCTCTGGGAGTAGTTCAGATGTTGTCCCTCAAGTCTAATTTCTGAGATAAACATCCCTGTATTATTTTGAGGTTCAGTCTCATTTGGAGTTAACTTACTGTTGATGACAAGTGGAAGTGTTTTGGTGGAGAAACCCAGCAGAACATTTCCAACTCTTGAAATGCCAGAGAATGATGGTGACAGGGACAGTGACAAGGATATCCTGTCTATCTTATCCACAAAGAGCAGTAGTAGGAGCCGTCTTTTTCTACAGCCACCTGATTCAACTGATCCACTAATCACAGTCCACTCCTCAAGAAAGATCATTAGTTGAATCAGATGTATTACTGAGAAAGCCTTCAACCACAACAGACCTTTGTAAATAAGATTGGACATGCCTGCTTTGAGAGGAGTAAGAGTAGGATGAGATAGAGGATGATGATGGTGATGGTGGTGATGATCACACTGTGTGTGCCAGGTAAAGTGTTCCTGGGCCCTCCCAGACTGTACCAGGAGCTGGAGGAGCTACAACACGACCTGTCTGTGGTTGAAAACATCACCCTGCTGGTGGGGACTTTACAAGGCACCTACCAGGTTAGACACACACACACACACACACACACACACTCACGCACACACACACCTACGTTTTCTTTTCAACACTGTTTATTGGACAGACAGCATCACCTTGACAGTTTATCATGTGATACCATCCCTCTACCACCCTCTTTCTGTTTTTCTCCAGAACCTGAACACAACAGTAGGGCAGGACTGGTGCCTAGCACTGCAGAGGCTCATCCACATCAAAGAGGAACAGATCCAGTGTGCCAACAAGTGCCGGCTGCGGCTGGCTGTGCCAGGCAAGCCTGACAAGTGAGTGCCCAGGGGCCCAAAGAAGTGTGTCTGTGTGTGTGTCTGTCTGTGTGTGTGGGGGGGGGGTTTGTGTGTGTGTGTAGGTAGGTGGTAAGCAGATGGCAGGGCAGCTTGGAGTGGGTGGCAAGGCCTGGCACATTCTTAATCCTCTACTGCCAAGCTGTGAATGGAACTCTCTCAGCTCTAGTCTATTCCTACAGCCTGTTATTTAATGCCAAAATAGGCAGTTAGAGCTTACACGTTTATTAATGTTTCTGATAGAAACTCAATCTCTACTAAAGCAATTCAAGGTCAAGCATTAGCAAATATATCCACTAGCCCATAGCCCTAGAAAGCAGGGACATGGCTAGAACAGGGAGAGCTGGAATGTAGTCTGGATGTTCATAAAGTCCCTCTCCATTCCCATCCACACCATCCTTACTTGTGATTGTCTGTTTATGTGTGTATGCATGCACGTGTGTTACATGATGTTAATGCATGTATTTTGTTACTCCTTAGATCTGGACGACCAGTCAGTTTCATGGTGGTTTTCAACACCCCCAGTCCCCTCAGCAAGATCTCCTGGGTCAACCGCCTGCACCTCGCCAAGATAGCCAAGAGTGAGTCGAGCTCTCCAACGATGCTATTTAACATTATAGCAAGCCTAGCTTAGCTTTGGACTCCTAACACAGACCTAATACATTTTGTAGCTTTTTGGCATATTGGTCATCATTTGCCCACTGGGATAGGATGTTGCAGAGGTGTACAACTAAACATATCACTGTTGACACAGGGGAAGAGAACACGCCAGGCTGGGTGTGTGCAGAGGATGATGGGAAGACTAGACCTCCATTCTGGTGTCCCCTGCTAGCCTGCCGACTTCCCATCTTCTCCTCCAAAACACAAGACCAAAAGGTAAGCAGCTACAGCTGTGAGGAAGCTCAGTGGTAGAGTGGACCTATTTTGACAGCCAATCAAAGCCATGTAAGAGAGGATGAAAGCTATTATAGACAGCAGAAAGATATGTTTTATGTTTGTTTTTTATGGTGCTCAAAGAACTGAAGTAGAGGTGCTACCTTAATGATGCAGTTTAAATGAAGAAGAGCGTTTTGGGGTAGATTTCGGGGGAAAGTAGAGATAAAAATCAAGTTTGAGATGTGGGGAAAATATCATCATTACCACAAAGAGTTCCTCTGAAGGTATTTGATACAATGCTGGATTTGCTGTCGAACGGAGAGCAGGGGCAAGAAGTAGCAGGCGTTGGCTTGAACCAACAGGGGAATCAGAACACCATCAAATAATTGGCACTCAAGGAAGTGTGACTGGGGTTTCTTTGTGTGTCTCAGGCTATGATTAGCAGCTTATGCTATAGTCCCATCTCATTCATTGCCAATCTCTCTTACTTCTCCTGGCATCTGAGCTGAACAAAGCAGCCAAACTGACTGATGAGATTATGGAAGCTGTTTGATAAAGAAAATTGAATCCTTCACTCGCATGATGAGAACATCAGTCCTTGCTCATCTAAGGGACCACTAAATTACCATTGCAACGACCGACACTTGATTGTATTTCAAGACTGCTGAGTTGAGTTCATCTATATTATCATTGGTATGATGATATGAAGTCTTGGTCTCGTCTGCGCATTTCCCCCCGGCACATTTCTGTTACTCAGAGAAAAAAATCAGCAACATAACTCAAAGTAGTATTTCGAGTTGTTACAAAAGAAGCCATTATTGAGCAAAAAGCAGGTATGTTGAGATGAAAGGTGTAATGTTATGCCATGCTAACACACCACCTTAGTTTGCCTGGCAAGGTTAAAGAAACAAATGTTGTTGAAGAGGATATGAAATATGCACTGTTGGCACCTTGAATGTGCCAAACTAACTCATTATAATAGAATAATGCAGTTGTAGTTGAAAGGAAACCTTCTGTAAAATAAAAGTGCGCCTGTGCGTGTGTGTGTGGCCACTGTGCTTATACATCTGCATGGCTTGCTCTTTTGGGTTTTACACTGGGGTTCTGTATAGCACTTTGTGACAACTGCTGATGTAAAAAGGGCTTTATAAAATACATTTGATTGATTATTGAACACACACACTGCCGACACCGTATCAACATACTCAACCGCTGGTTTTACTCTCCCTTTAAAATAAGTGAATCTGCTTCAGTTTCCCCTCTTTCATTTTACGTCATTTAGCAGACGCTCTTATCCAGAGCAACTTACAGTTAGTGAGTGCATACCTAATTTATTTATACTGGCCCCCCATGGGAATCAAACCCACAACCCTGGCGTTGCAAACGCCATGCTCTACCAACTGAGCTATCTCCCTGCCAGCCATACCCTCCCCTACCTTGGACGACGCTGGGCCAATTGTGCGGCGCCCCATGGGTCTCCCGGTCGCGGCCGGCTACGACAGAGCCTGGATTCGAACCAGGATCTCTAGTGGCACAGCTAGCAATGCAGTGCCTTAGACCACTGCGCCACTCGGGAGACACTTTCATATTCTCTGTCTTGGGATAGAGGAGAGATCAAAGGGTAAGCGCCTTATTTCTGGGGACTCGGCTGAGGCCATTGACTCCTGAAGATAAACCATAAAGCGAGGAAAATGCTAGATGCTATTCCAAGTAATCTTTCCAAGTTGAAATTGAAAGACTAACTGCTGGTTTCTCTAAACTAAACCCCCCCCCTGGACTCTCCGGATAGGCTCTAACACAAATATGCCTGCATAAATTACAAGTAAACAGTAAATCACAGACCAGCCTGTGTGCAAAATGGTAATCTATTCCCCCTGTGCGGGCATTTTGGACTCAACCCAGTGTTCTTTTCTGGAAGGGTATCCACACTCTCTCCATTCCTCTGCTGTTATATCCCGTTCATAGAGAGAATTTAGCTATAATATACAATATATTGCCTATAATACCGAATACATATACACTGAGTGTACAAAACATTAAATCCACTTCAATCAGTGTAAATGAAGGAGAGAAGACAAGTTAAAGAAGGATTTTTAAGCCTTGAGACAATTGAGACATGGATTGTGTATGTGTGCCATTCAGAGGGTGAATGGGCAACATAAAATATTGACGTACCTTTGAACGGGGTATGGTAGTAGGTGCCAGGCGCACCGGTTTGAGTGTGTCAAGAACTGCAACGCTGCTGGGTTTTTCATGCTCAACAGTTTCCCGTGTGTATCAAGAATGGTCCACCACCCAAAGGACATCCAGCCAACTTGACACAACTGTGGGACGCACTGGAGTCAACATCGGCCAGTATCCCTGTGGAACGCTTTCGACACTTTGTAATGTCCATGCCCTGATGAATTGAGGCTGTTCTGAAGGCAAAAGGGGGTGCAACTCAATATTAAGAAGGTGTTCCTAATGTCTGGGACACTGTGTATCTATATACAGTACAGTGAGGGAAAAAAGTATTTGATCCCCTGCTGATTTTGTACGTTTGCCCACTGACAAAGAAATGATCAGTCTATAATTTTAATGGTAGGTTTATTTGAACAGTGAGAGACAGAATAACAACAAAAAAATCCAGAAAAACGCATGTGAAAAATGTTATAAATTGATTTGCATTTTAATGAGGGAAATAAGTATTTGACCCCCTCTCAATCAAAAAGATTTCTGGCTCCCAGGTGTCTTTTATACAGGTAACGAGCTGAGATTAGGAGCACACTCTTAAAGGGAGTGCTCCTAATCTCAGCTTGTTACCTGTATAAAAGACACCTGTCCACAGAAGCAATCAATCAATCAGATTCCAAACTCTCCACCATGGCCAAGACCAAAGAGCTCTCCAAGGATATCAGGGACAAGATTGTAGACCTACACAAGGCTGGAATGGGCTACAAGACCATCGCCAAGCAGCTTGGTGAGAAGGTGACAACAGTTGGTCCGATTATTCACAAATGGAAGAAGCACAAAGAACTGTCAATCTCCCTCGGCCTGGGGCTCCATGCAAGATCTCACCTCGTGGAGTTGCAATGATCATGAGAACGGTGAGGAATCAGCCCAGAACTACACGGGAGGATCTTGTCAATGATCTCAAGGCAGCTGGGACCATAGTCACCAAGAAAACAATTGGTAACACACTACGTCGTGAAGGACTGAAATCCTGCAGCGCCCGCAAGGTCCCCCTGCTCAAGAAAGCACATATACAGGCCCGTCTGAAGTTTGCCAATGAACATCTGAATGATTCAGAGGAGAACTGGGTGAAAGTGTTGTGGTCAGATGAGACCAAAATGGAGCTCTTTGGCATCAACTCAACTCGCCGTGTTTGGAGGAGGAGGAATGCTGCCTATGACCCCAAGAACACCATCCCCACCGTCAAACATGGAGGTGGAAACATTATGCTTTGGGGGTGTTTTTCTGCTAAGGGGACAGGACAACTTCACCGCATCAAAGGGACGATGGACGGGGCCATGTACCATCAAATCTTGGGTGAGAACCTCCTTCCCTCAGCCAGGGCATTGAAAATGGGTCGTGGATGGGTATTCCAGCATGACAATGACCCAAAACACACGGCCAAGGCAACAAAGGAGTGGCTCAAGAAGAAGCACATTAAGGTCCTGGAGTGGCCTAGCCAGTCTCCAGACCTTAATCCCATAGAAAATCTGTGGAGGGAGCTGAAGGTTCGAGTTGCCAAACGTCAGCCTCGAAACCTTAATGACTTGGAGAAGATCTGCAAAGAGGAGTGAGCCAAAATCCCTCCTGAGATGTGTGCAAACCTGGTGGCCAACTACAAGAAACGTCTGACCTCTGTGATTGCCAACAAGGGTTTTGCCACCAAGTACTAAGTCATGTTTTGCAGAGGGGTCAAATACTTATTTCCCTCATTAAAATGCAAATCAATTTATAACATTTTTGACATGCGTTTTTCTGGATTTTGTTGTTGTTATTCTGTCTCTCACTGTTCAAATAAACCTACCATTAAAATTATAGACTGATCATGTCTTTGTCAGTGGGCAAACGTACAAAATCAGCAGGGGATCAAAAACTTTTTTCCCTCACTGTAACTGAGTATAGTAGGTCTGTGGGTAAAACTGAGCTTTTGTTGTGTTGTGTCTGTAGCTGTTGACGGCCCTTCACAACCCGGTCCAGTGTGCCCTGCTGGCGTTCTCTGCAGCCAGCACCTCTCTGCCGCAGGGCTACCTTTGGGTGAGTACTGCAAACTGTGGTTGAGTTGTGGTTGGGATGAAGTGTTGCAAGGTGGTCCAATTAACTATAATGGTTTTCATGTGATGAGTATCCTAAGCCTAGGCTTTAGCTCTTTTGCTCAGAGGGCTGATGCGATCTAGAGTCACGTAGTAGATCTGTGTTCAAAAGCTGGTCGGCCCCATTAACATCCTGTATCTGTCATGACCAGGTGGCCAGTGGAGGTGACCGCAACCACGGTCAAGTGGAAATCTTCTCTCTGAACCGCTCCACGCCGCGCACGGTCAAGTCCATCCAGCTGGGGGTGCCAGTCCTGTGTCTGGACCACGTGATGGAGCCCTGTCCCACCGACGAGGAAGAGGAGGGGGAGGCTGCTGTCAAGAGCACAGCCAGGACTGGAAACACCATCTGTGTAGGCCTGCAGGATGGCAAGTGAGTCTTCGGGTGTGCTGTAGTACAAACAAACACTGCAAAATGAGTTTACACAATATGCTGACACCCATGTGTTTATTGAACATGGCAGAATTTTTCATGCTGCACCTTTTGGATTTGGTTATCGACTATTCTCCATCAAGGAACCAACAAATCAGAAAAAAGTGACAGACATTTACCATTCAGTTCATTGTGACTTTTGTATTGTCCATAGCAATGCTAGCAGAAACCGGAACGTATCAGCCCGAGTGGCCACACACAACTCTATCAGTAGAATTCAAGTTGGCTCATGTTATTGTCAAATACCTAGTAAAGGTCACCCTATTTCTCATGAACTCCATTTCCCAGCATTCTTGTGTACGGTAGCGTGGACACTTCGGCCCAATGCCTGCTGACCTTCTCCAAACCCAGACAGTTGTCCAGTTCTGTGCCTGAAACACTCTGCCTCCTTCCTGTTCGCTGGGCTGGGGAATGGAAAAGTGTCTGTTTACTCTCGGAAGAGTGGAGGTGAGACCGCAATCCAACTGTATAATATCATATCCTGACATTTCCTTGTATAATCAAGGTATTCCATTACAAGTTACAAGACAACGTTAAGATTAACATACTATAGGTCTATAGGTTTATAGGTCTGCCTCTCTGTCTGCTGTTGTACCACTACACCCTCCTGGACAATGCTCTCATAGACTTAAATAGAACAACAGGATATCATGTTTCTCTATGGTGTTCTCAATAATCTACCTGATTAAGTCAATGTGATGGATAAATAAGTAACCATCAGTAACACTGACCATTTTCTCTTGTGTCCAGAGGGGCTGTGGGACCCTGAGTCGTGCAGGCTGGTGACTGTGGGCAGTGGCCCCATCCGCACCCTCCTAACCCTAGAGAATGCTGTGTGGGCCAGCTGTGCCAACCACGTCACCGTCATTCAGGGCTCCAACCTCCACACCCAGGTGGGCAAAACACACCCTTCTATACACCCTCATTTACACAGGGCTGAAGGAATGAGGAAGAGAAGAGAGCGAGGGACTATATGACATGAAAAGGATTGGATAGGTGTAATATGATACTGTAGCTAGTATGAAGAGGACACATTGACAACCTCTTTCCTCTCTCTCTCTCTTGATGATAACACCTCTTTCACACTCACTCACTCACTCTCCCCCCTCTCTCTCTCCCCCTCTTAAAGAGTTTTGACGCGCATCCGGAGCCCGCGGTCAGTGTGAGTCACATGGTGCGGGCGGGGGGAGGGGTGTGGATGGCCTTCTCCGAGGGCTCATCCATCCGCCTGTTCCACACGGAGACACTGGAGCACCTGCAGGAGATCAACATCTCCACGCGCTCCACCTTCCTCAGCCCAGGCAAGTACAGTGTAGAAGGTCACAGGTCACCAACTACTTGTTTCACTTACATGATTCAAAACCAGCCCCTAGACACTTGTGTAGGTCTAAAAGGATTGGAACAGGTATGAGCAATCTGTTATTAGCTCCACATTGCCCTATGTAAGGCTAGGTGGAATTTAAACCCTAGTGATAATCTATGAAATTATTTCAGATATACAGAAGAGGCTAAGGCATAGAGGCTAGGGATGGATCATAAATGTGGAAGTGGGCAGGTGTAACGTTGACATGAAAAGGAGGAAGTGACAGAATGGTGGTTGTGTGTCTCTTCCAGGGCAGCAGGGCAGCGTCCGGGTCACCAGCCTACTCATCTGCCAGGGGCTACTGTGGGTGGGCACTGCCCAGGGCATCATCGTCACCCTGCCCGTGCCCAAACTGGAGGGAATCCCCAAAATAACAGGTCAGGCTTGGCACAGACACAACCAACGTTTGCACATGAAAGCTGGCATCAGGTTGCATCAGGTTACTCCCATTGCATTGGTGTGACTGGCTGTATTATGTATTATAATTGTCTAATAAAACCAATGAATCAACCCACCAATCAACCAATCAAGCTGTGTGTTTTCTAACCGAGGCCGTGTGTGCTATTTGTCCCACAGGTAAAGGGATGACATCTCTAAACGCTCACTGTGGCCCTGTGGATTTCCTTGTGGTCACCTCCAGCACCCTGTCCCCAGACATGCTCAAACGGGACTCGTTTTGCGACACTGCCGACCAGGCCAATGGGGGAGCGGGAGGAGGAGGAGAGGGTGGGGAGCGGAGGAATGAATTGTCCCAGGAGTCACTCTCACAACCGGACTGCTCCTCCCCCCAAGGAGAGCCCACAAAGGCCAAAGGAATGCTGCTTCAGTATCGCCTCCGCTCCACCACTCAGCTGCCCGGCAAGCTGCTGACAGCCGAACCTGACCAAAGCCCCTGCGACGCCCCACCGGAGACCCCGGAGCACAGCCCTGAGGACGGCTCCATCTACGAGCTGAGCGAGGACCCTGAGATATGGGTGCGGGGGCAGCCCCCGGCCAGGGAGGGGCGCGGGAAGGACAAGGTGACATCGGCTGCCGTCTTCTCCGGAGGCAGAGGGTTCCGTCGACTTGGGGAGGAGACTACAGCAGCCAATGGGGACCCAGATGAAAGTACGCTCATGGTTTGGCAACTCCCACTAACAGTGAGCCCATGAGGATACAAGGCTGATTGGACGAGACGAGAGCTGGCTCCGCAGGCTCCTCCCACTCGCCTGATGTATTGCGTGCTCTATGAAGAAGAGACACTATTAAACAATATATTTTCAGGATGATAGACTACACTGTTTCAGGAAGGGCTATAGAGTATGGTACATTCCTCTACCACCTTGATGGTTGGATTTGGGAGTAGTGGTGTGCTGCAAACTGTGTCTGACGTGTTTCAGGTCCTGGGGCCATGTCCTAGTCCCAACTGAGAAAGCTCTAAACTCTCACACGCACTCCTCCCAGCAGATGCTGCTTCAGTCTGGCAGATCTAGACCAGGGGGTCTCGTCAAATGGAATTTGAGGAGGCTCACTCAACATGATTTTGCATTTTGCACGTTCTTAAAAAAAGTATAATTGCCAAGTGATTGAAAAGTGACAGTTACGAACGTTAGATTTCGATTGTTTTGTTGTCACTCTAATTGACTCCTATTGCCAGTGTATCAAGTGTGTTGCTAACACAGAACATGACAGCTAATGTTAATGTTAGGGTGTATGGTAGCATGTTTATGAAGTACTTATAAACTCTTTACAACCCCCCTTAAAGGGTACCTTTAAAGTGTTACCAGTTAACTTAATGTATAGTAGAGATACAGTACACTGACAGGTATCCCGCTTTTGGGAAAAAGAGAAATCTACATATAACATTTTTCATAAATCAACTTGATGATCAACATACCGTGTAATAATATATTGTCCTGTCTTTCTGTGAGAATGTTGTCTAATGTCCTGTTTTCCAAACAATGTGAAGAAGAAACAGCACCAAGGGAAAGAATGTATCAGCTACTGTATGCTTGACAGGTACTTCTTTTTCACAGTGTGTTTACACTGTGTTATTGGAATAAAGAGATCATGGTCTGATACAAGCTCTTTTGCTGATTTTTGCAAACTCAGTGAATGACTTTGGGGAGGCCGTTGAGATACAAGCTAACAGACTGTTATTATCTTGGACACAGAGGGGGACATTTTTATTACATGGGAAATATAAGGAATTGTCCAAATTATATACAGTATTTCCAAACAAATGGATGTATTACAAATACATTTACAAATGTATGTCAAGCATTAAAATACATTTCAAAATGCATTAAAAAAAACATTTGGCCAATGTTTTTATATTTCACATGTATCCTAAAATGCATTTAAAAAATACACTGAGTGTACAAAACCTTAAGGACACCTGCTCTTTCCATGGAATAGACTGACCAGGTGAATCCAGGTGAAAGCTATGATCCCTTATTGTTATTGATGCCACTTGTTAAATCCATTTCAATCAGTGTAGATGAAGGAGAGAAGACAGGTTAATGAAGGATTTTTAAGCCTTGAGACAATTGAGACATGGATTGTGTATGTGTGCCATTCAGAGGGTGAATGGACAACACAAATTATTTAAGTGCCTTTGAGCAGGGTATGGTAGTAGGTGCCAGGCACACCGGTTTGTGTCAACAACTGCAACGTTGCTGGGTTTTTCACGCTCAACAGTTTCTTGTGTGTATCAAGAATGGTCCACCACCCAAAGGACATCCAGCCAACTTGACACAACTGTGGGAAGCATTGGAGTCAACATGTACCAGCATTCCTGTGGAAGGCTTTGACACCTTCAAGAGTCCTGACAAATTCAGGCTGTTCTGAGAGGGGGGGGGGGTGCGCAACTCAATATTAAGAAGGTGTCCTTAATGTAATGTTTTGTACACTCAGTGTGTGTATATACATTTTTTAAAATGTTATGTGAGTGTGTGAGAGAGAGAGAGAGATGGGGGGGTGCACCTAGGTGTGTGTGTGTGTGTGTGTGTGCGCGCACGCGTAAACGTATGTTGAGAGAGAGAGAAAGCAAGCGAGAGAGCGAGATGAGAATTCATTCAAATCAAATCTGATGCAGTTTTTAAAGCTCACACTATTCTGGTGGCAATATTGTGATGAGGATTTTTTTTTTTCCTCACTGGTCGCTTGACAGAAACAGAAAAGTAGCTCTGCGTTCCGGTGCAGAATGAAGCGTTCCGAATGGGGACCAGATCCCATGCCGCGGGCATAGTGGATGGCACTTTATCGACGATTTATCACCTGAAGCAGATGGAGTGTCAATTTGACCACACGAACTGGGAAGATGAGTTGTGCTTTTTCTCAGTGTATCCTCGTATATATTTTGGATGTAGCTGTTGGTATGTCTCCGTTTTTTGTACTATAAGGAGCGTTTTGTTCTTATTAGCTAAAATGTTTTGATTTAATTTCTAAAGCTCCATGCAGTAGACCATTTTTACTAACCTATCTATTTCACATTTAATATACTTCTGTGTTAGGCTATAGCTCTAAAGCCTGCAGAATGAAATTACATTGCAATGATTATAGGCTGCAGAGGTTATTTTCTTACATGTTTGAAACTCATTACACTAAGTAGCCTAGATTGACTGTAAACAGTTCCAAGTCATTGACAGCCATCCAAAATTATTAGTTTGTCCATGAGGAGATGCACTGTATCATACAGTGTAATCTTGCTGCAATTTCTGTAGTCTGTACATTGAGTATACTCACTCAATGCATGTTTGACTTAAATAGGCAAAAAGTTGTCTGATGCCTGTGAGTCTATGATGTCACAATCCTAGTTACCCAATCCAGTTTTTGACTGATTATCTGAGGGATAAGGGCTGTTTGTTTGGCTGACCCATTTTACAGGTAATCTGTACTCTAAAATGATTAAATGCCACTATCCCAAGGCTCTAGACCTGACAGAATGCATGCCAACAAAACTTTGAGGATATGCATTATTTCAAGTATCTAATATTAGTAACATTAATTGCAATCAGGATCTGTGATCACATGTAAGTATAGGATTTCAATCCCATCATATGGCAGTAATAGATGCTATAGAAATTGAGGGGAGGGAGAGTGTAATTGTGAATTCAGTGAATGCAGTTCCTATTGAAGGTGCTCAGTCACTTGTGTGTGTGTGCGCGTGTGTTTCTGCCTGGATCTGTGTATGGGTCTGTAGTCTCGCTTGCCAGACGAAAGGCACTCCACCCCCAGTGGCTTGTGAGATCAAGTTGGTCTGTGAATGGGAGAGAGAGAGAGAACGTAATCTCCTTGCTAGCTTTCTGTCAGTGCTCCATTCACCTCCTCCTCCTTTGGAGAGTTAATGCTTGCAGGCTTCAAGCCTACGCTTAGGCCTTGAGTGAGCCTATTTTCAGAAGAATCAAGTCTCACAACAGCGCCAGTGTCTAATTCTCTGATCACCGTATAATCCAAAAGAATTGGACTGGGTGTACTGTATTGAAGGCCTACAGTGTCCTCTGTTAAATACAGCAGATGACAGCTGTCCGTCATGTGTCTGTTCAGAATATGGAGCCTGAGGAGCTTGTTGGTCATAGTAGAGCACTAACATGAGAGGAAGTGCACCATGGGTATTTGCAATGTTTCATTTAGTAAAATGTATTAGCACTGAAGATAACAGGTAATAGACAACAATACAGATTAAAAATATATATATATGTGCAGGTGTGATTGGAAGCTGGTTCAGAATATTAGTGATCAATGAAAGAAAGCCATCTAAATATATGCATATTCATCTCTGTTTCAGCACCAATTGGTAGATTTAAAAAATACTCTGATCTTGTAGATTATTTAGGTTTAGGAAAGTATTTATGAATCATAAACTGGTTAGGAGAGCCTCTATGCACAAAATAAAGAAAAGTGTGGTTTAATTCATTCAGAAAATTGCCACATTCAGTTCTACAACCCATGGTAATGTTGGAAGATTAGTGTACATATAATGATAATAAGGAGAATAGTGTACAATAGTAGGTTACATCCCCCTCTATTGTCTACTCTAACCATGGAACTGTGTGATGACACGGCCAAGTATTTCGCAATGCGTCGGGTTCAAACTGTTACTGATTGGTCTGCGCTCCACTCCATAATGATTTAATTAGCCTACATTTTTATATTATCAACTGTTACTAATGATCCTCAGCAACAACTACATGGCCGTGAGGGCGTTTACAGAGGAAGCAAATAAAGGTAAACAAAACAATGTAATGTAATGATAATGTAGGCTATACCAACTGAAGAGAGCTAACAGTAAATTGGTAGTTGAAAATGTGTGGCTACTGATGGTCGATACTGATAGTGGCTAATATTTAACATGATAGAAATAGGAAACAGAGAAACCCCTGGGACTTTAATGCAGGGAAACATAAATCTGTGTTACCTAATTTCTACCAGGATATTAAATGTGCAAAAAAAACTCTAGACCACCTTTACTCCACACACAGAGACGTACAAAGCTCTCCCTCGCCCTCCATTTGGCAAATCTGACCATAATTCTATCCTCCTGATTCCTGCTTACAAGCAAAAACTAAAGCAGGAAGCACCAGTGACTCGGTCAATAAAGAAGTGGTCAGATGACGCAGATGTTAAGCTAAAGGACTGTTTTGCTAGCACAGACTGGAATATGTTCCAGGATTCTTCCGATGGCATTGAGGAGTACACCACATCAGTCACTGGCTTCATCAATAAGTGTATTGATGATGTTGTCCCCACAGTGACCGTACGTATATACCCCAACCAGAAGCCATGGATTACAGGCAACATCCACACTGAGCTAAAGGGTAGAGCTGCCGCTTTCAAGGAGCGGGACTCTAACCCGGACGCTTATAAGAAATCCTGCTATGCCCTCCGACGAACCATTAAACAGGCAAAGCGTCAATACAAGACTAAGATTGAATCGCACTACACCGGCTCCGATGCTCGTCGGATGTGGCAGGGCTTGCAAACTATTACAGACTATAAAGGGAAGCACAGCCACGAGCTGCCCAGTGACACAAGCCTACCAGACGAGCTAAGTCACTTCTATGCTCGCTTCGAGGCAAGCAACACTGAAGCATGCATGAGAGCATCAGCTGTTCCGAACGATTGTGTGATCACGCTCTCCGTAGCCGATGTGAGTAAGGCCTGTAAACAGGTCAACATTCAGACGGATTACCAGGATGTGTACTCCGAGCATTCGCTGACCAACTTGCAAGTGTCTTCACTGACATTTTCAACCTGTCCCTGACTGAATCTGTAATACCAACATGTTTCAAGCAGACCACCATAGTCCCTGTGCCCACTAAGGTAACCTGCCTAAATGACTACAGACCCGTAGCACTCACGTCTTTAGCCATGAAGTGCTTTGAAAGGCTGGTCATGGCTCACATCAACACCATTATCCCAGAAACCCTAGACTCTAATTTGCATACTGCCCCAACAGTTCCACAGATGATGAAATCTCTATTGCACTCCACACTGCCCTTTCCCACCTGGACAAAAGGAACACCTACGTGAGAATGCTATTTATTGACTACAGCTCAGCGTTCAACACCATAGTGCCCTCAAAGCTCATCACTAAGATAAGGACCCTGGGACTAAACACCTCCCTCTGCAACTGGATCCTGGACTTCCTGACGGGCCGCCCCCAGGTGGTAAGGGTAGGTAACAACACATCTGCCACGCTGATCCTCAACACGGGGGCCCCTCAGGGGTGCGTGCTCAGTCCCCTCCTGTACTCCCTGTTCACCCATGACTGCATGGCCAGGCACGACTCCAACACCATCATTAAGTTTGCCGATGACACCACAGTGGTAGGCCTGATCACCGGCAACAATTAGACAGCCTATAGGGAGGAGGTCAGAGACCTAGCAGTGTCGTGCCAGGGCAACAACTTCTTCCTCAACGTGATCAAGACAAAGGAGATGATTGTGGACTACAGGAAAAGGAGGACCGAGCATGCCCTCATTCTCATCGACGGGGCTGTAGTGGAGCAGGTTGAGAGCTTCAAGTTCCTTGGTGTCCACATCACCAACAAACTATCATGGTCCAAACACACCAAGACAGTCGTGAAGAGGGCACGACAAAGCCTATTCCCCCTCAGGAGACTGCAAAGATTTGGCATGGGTCCTCAGATCCTCAAAAAGTTATACAGCTGCACCATCAAGAGCATCCTGACTGGTTGCATCACTGCCTGGTATGGCAACTGCTCGGCCTCCAACCGCAA